AAAGATCGAGTGCATAGCATGCATGCATGGATGTCTGGCGACCAAGATTATCCCTAGCTGCAAGACCGGTTATCGCATACCACGTACGGGAGGATGCTCTTACTTTCTCTGGTAGAAAAGAACCCGCAGACGAGGCTTCTATAAGTTCCTGGCTTGGAAGATAGATGAAAGTCCGAGACCTCTCTGGGACGGAAAAACTCAACGATGGATTGGATCATGGCATAGCTATGGCTCTTGGTCAGATGAGAATAATGGTGGATAGAAGGTAGCGCCTGATCATGTCCAGCGAGACGACTCGGCGCGGCTTCGACGACAGGCAGGTGGAGACTGGGTCATATGGACGTCGCTCGTCGAATGTCGAAGACGTTGGTCTTGATTGATGAGGTGTCGTCTGCGGTTAGGATACTGGCCAGGATTGGCATTATTCGACGTAAAGTGAAATGAGGAAACGCTGCTTCTGCTGCTGTTGCTGTTCTCGTCGTCGTCAAGGTCGACCTTTCCTCTTCGGGCAGATATCAGTCACGCACGTGACTGCGGTGGCTTGTTGAAGAAAAAAACATCTCTTGATAATCATGTCAGAAGCACGCGAGCAGGCAGTATAAGGTGTCAAGCCCTATGAGGGTATGAGGAAGAAATGTCCAACAAAACGCGAGATCCTCAGACGAGGTACGGGGTTCATATCCACAGTATTATTAATGATGACGAACAACTAGAAGAGATCAAAATCGAAAACCACGACGCGAACCATAGTCCTTTCTACTACGCTATGCTATGCTATATCACAAACACTATCTCGAATGGGTAAACTACTCTTAACGATAGTAATGACGCAAACCAATGTCCTCTATCTCTAAATGAATATCCGTGGAAGAAGCAGTGTATACGCCGCTCGACCGATTGTCCATACGGAACTTCTACTCTCAGTTCCACAGTCCCCGCATACCGCAGTCGGCAGCCTCATCCGCGACCGGGGTGAAAGAGTCGCCGAAGGGTGTGGTGTTGAAAGGAGACTCGATAGCTCCCCAAGAACCCGCATTGCTCGTTTCCATCTCCTCCGTACCACACACGCCCCAGCCAACGTTCTCGTTCCCCACAAAGGCGGCCTCGTTTCCGACCTGGGCTTGAGGCGCGCTATACCAAGGAGTATTGTCGGGCGCCAAGAAGCCGGCGTAGGAGAAGTTGATAGAGGTGTGGTCGGCAGAGTCGCTGACGGCAGACATCTCCACGGTAGGCTTCAATGTGGTAGTGTCTGAAGTGGGGAGAGAAGCAATGGTAGCGGCGCTGCAAGGAACTTCGGCGGGAACGGAAACGATATCGTCATCCAGATCGAAGTCCATGACCAGCTCGTCAAACGCAAGCCTCTCGCTCTCAGAAAGACCTTGGCCCGTGACAGCAGGAAGCTGGGGCTGAGAGGCGACCACGGGGGGCAGGGTAGAGGACACCGAGGTGTCGTTGAGGGAAAAGGTGGGAGCCTGGACGGGGGAGACGTCGACAGGTCGTACGTAGGTAGGCTTGACCGGGGTGGTACGCGGAGTAGGAGGGTGGTAAGGAGCTGCTGCCTTGCTGGCAGGAGCAGCAGCAAGGACCGAGCAGCATGAATCGAACTCGTTGTCGAACAGCGCCTGTTGCATCTCGACAACGGGGTGGTCCTTCAGCATGCCGTTGGCGCCAACAGCAACAGGAAGCTGGGCGGGCGGGACGAAGGGCATGAAGATGTGGGGAGTGGCGAAGCCAGAAGTGAGGCCGGCAGAGACGCTGGCAGGAGAGGGACCGGAGCTGAGCTCGACGGTGGACCTGGCCGGGGTCATCGGGGTGATTGGGGTGATCGGGTTCATAGAGGACGTCCCGGAAGACGAGGCAAGAGATGAAGTTGAGGGAGTAGCGATGTAAACGCCGTCGGCGGAGGGAGCACGACCCATAGCGGCGAGCTTCTTCAAAGCCTTCTGGGAGCCTCGCTTGCCCTTGGCAAGGACGTATTTGCACTCGATGCCATCGCAGGTACAGCGGGTGCAGGCGTTGAAGTCGGTTCCATCGCACTGCAAAGTCGAATCAGTCTCTTGGGGTGATAGCAGGACGAAATTGCTTACCTCCTTTCGTCGCTGTTTGCAGTGCTCACAAGACATGCTCTTACGCTTGTAGCCTTCGGCATGCTTCTTCTTCTCCTTGCCACTCGCCTTGATGCTCCTGGTGTTGGTGGCATGAATGGAAGATCTCGCCTTGGGCTTGGCCTTGTCGCCACTGCTGGCGGGAGAGGGCGTCACGGGAGAAAGCTGGGGACCGAGGGCGTTACCGTCGTCATTGGTGCTGGAGGTGTAGTTGATAGTAGACGGAGTATAGGAGGCGGGAAAGGCACTATAGCGAGGGAGAGGGCGTCAGTGATGGCATGGGAAACAGGACTGGGGTGGACGAACCCGCTGTGGCCAGAGAGCTGGATACCGAGAGCGTTGAGGTCACGCCCAATGACGGCGCAGGGGACAGTAGACAGATCGTATGAGACGGGGAAGATACTACAGCGAGAGAGAGGTCGTCAGTAATAGCATGGGAAACGGGACTGAGGCGGACGAACCCGCTACTGTCATACAGCTGTGCTTCGGGGGCGTTCCCGTCACTGGAGGTGGTGTTGTTGGTGGTGGTGTAGGTGGTGGTGTAGGTGTTGGGAGAAGGGCTGGGGAAGCCAGGGAGAGCACTGGAGAGGAAGAGACTGTCAGCAAGGGCCTGGGAAACGGGAATGAGGAGGACGAACCCGCAGTTGCCAGACATCGTGGGGTGTGGGATTGGTTTGGGGTGGGGTGGGGGTTGAGTGATGTCTGTGGTTGGTTGTTTTGGGGTGTTCTCACGATAGATGAGGGTGGGTGTTGTAAAAGAGAAAGAGAAATGGGGGATGGGAATTCCCAGGAGATATGGGGTGGGCATCGCTCGCCGTCCTGAGCATCGCCTCAACTCGCACGCAAAAACTCGCACGCCGAACAGAGGGATGTCGGTGTGCGACCATGCTCATGCATCTACTTATCGATGCATGTCGATTTTGGTACCATCAGGCGCGGAAAGGCTGTGGCCGTATGATGGTACAGGTCTCATGTCTATACGAGATGCATAGCAGAAGCTGTCAAAAGTGCCACAAGCAAGAGACCAAGAATTGGCGGAAGTCTCACGTCACGCGCGCGTGCACCAGCAGCGGTACCTGACGCTTCCAATAGATGAAAGGACCCCCTCAACCAGGAAATTGTTATTGCAAGAGTTCGTACGCATGTAGGGTCGGCCTCGGCGAGCATGAGTGGGGGACGGAGTGGAGGGCTACGCATGGCGAGTCGATGACGCAGAGGTATGCGGTGGGAGTGATTGCGGGTTCAGCATTCCGCCTGAAAAATGTCGAGGCGTACCACCGTTCGGTCTTTGTTGAGCCAAGGATCGAAATACGTTTCACCATATGTGAAGGGGCAGGGTATGAGACGATGGTCGATGTTGCATGAAGAGGGCGACCCTGTTTGCTGTCAGTGGTGTCACGTGAAGTTTCGCTATTTGGCTCTCGACTGACCGTCACCAAGCCGACATCGTTGAATTCCTCTTGAGCTCATGTCCACGTGAGCCCTGTTTCTTCCGATACATCTCGACATGAGACGAAGCAAACATTGTCCACGGTGGAGATCAGAGCGGAGTGGCGCCAAGTGGTGATATGTATCCTCGAGTAGGTCAGCCTTTGATATCTGCACCACTCGTCAGCCTAAAAGAGGCATGGGAGGACGCCTGCTCGTACCATGACATAGCGCTGTTAGGAAAGAACTCGCAATCTAAGCTGCGCTGTGTCTGGCGCGATCAAGAGATTCAAGATAGATGAGAATTCGCGACGCTCCCTTCGCCAAATGAGAGGGCGATAAGGTTGATAATGGCTTCGCGGTTGCTCTTGGTCAATCTAGAGTTGTGCATGAAATAGCGTAGAGCCTGAGAGCATGGGGTCGACAAAAGGCAGGCGGGGAGGGAATCATAGAGACGTCGCTGGTCGACCTTGTTGACGCTGGCCTTGGTTGATGAGGTTTCGTCTGCCGTCCGCATACTAGCCAGGATTGCGGTTCTCGCTGAGTCGTAGAGTCATTATTCGATGTGATGTGAGAATGAGGAAACGTTCTATGCTGCTGCTGTCGTCCTCGTCGTCGTCGTCGTCGTAAGGTCCGCCAGAGACCCGGAGCCCCGGACCCCAACGCGACGCGCGGATTCCAGCGCGATCTGAGCAAAGTGTCTATCATCACTCTGATAAGGCGATATCTCAGGATCAAAATATGTTCCGGTGGAAAGTCTTTGGGTCTTGCTTAAGTGAGCTTCGACCTCTTCTCAGAGACTGAAATGTGAGTCCATTCTTGACACAGAGATAAGGCTGACACGATGATCATTCCTAGCCGACCAGGGCGCGCAGTACATGAAGCCTTGTCTCTTGCTATTCGCCGTCAATGTATCGATACCAACTCGGACTGAATACCAGTTTTATCCTCTTTCGTCCGATCCCAGACCATGTGCCGAACAAGAGCCTTTAGAGGCGCCTGCATGATAAGAAGGTTGTGTTAGCCCTGCCGTGTGGAGGGAACCGGGAGATGGTGTCGACATGAACTCTTGAGGGATCATAAGGTGGGGGGTGTCGGTCAGATGTGCAAGGGAAGGGAGATGAGCCACCAGAGCCAAGAAGACATCAATGTGTCCATGCCCAGCAGCTAGAAAGACAGTGCTTTGATCTTATATATCCCCTTTCGACGTTTATGATGGCTTGTACAGCTGGACGGGATCCCTCACGCGTCCTCTTCTTCCACCTTTCACTGCTGGCAACTGGTGCTGCTGGCATCTGCTGCCCTCCTTCTTGAGAAACGCGATACGTAATCAACCACAGGAACCACATAACGCGTCGACGCGACGGAAATTTAGAACCAGATTCAGACTGGATTCAGAAGACATTCTGATTATCTCCTCCCAGTACCTGATCAACCGTACGGCGCACGTGCCAGCGTATCCAGAACATGGGGTTATACGATGACCTTGAATCCCGGATGCTGTTTGAGAACCAGCGCGCCATCGAGGAGGTACGTCTTCAAGCCCGATGATGCTCGCTACGTGAGGCTGATTTGCCCGCATCTAGCTGCAGAAAACCACCCTCGACCTCAGTACCCGCATAGATGCCGTCACCGCTCCAAAGGGCAAAAAGAACTCCCCCGCCCTCTACCCAGAGCGCCTCATGACCACCGCCAGGTTCCAGGACGTGCTCAATTTGGTCATAGGTCGGGCCGGTGAGCCTGCTTTGATTGGCGACGCGACTGCTAAATTTGCCCTCGAGATCTTGCAGGACATCTTGCAGGAAAACTTCAAGCCAGGACCACTGGCTCGGTATGAGAGGCCGATGCTCGTTAGGGTCATTGGGCGGTTCGAGGCTGCGAGGGATTTCTATGCTGCGGAGGCCGATGAGACGATCTCGGTGAAGAACCAGGCTTTCCGAGCAGCCGTTTTTGGGTCGTGTGCCAAGGAACTTCGTACTCTGCTGCAAGGCTGAACTGTAAGCTCTTTGCTACGATGCAGAGTCGGAGCTGATGATCTAATCAGAAACGCGTCGTGCAGTAGTGCTCGAGGCTCATCTGTAGTTGTTTACATTACCACCATGTACTATATCTATGCCAAAACAAACAACCGTCTCTACCCATCCAGTCCCAGAACCGTTCACGCCTTCATTGCTGAGCCGGCGTAGACCCCCTCGACTTGATCCGCGCACTCTTCCTCGGCGTCGCCTTCCCATTCCCACCTGCCCTTGTCTTTGTCGGCGTCTTGACAACCTCACTCAACTCCTTCTCCAACATCAAATCAAACTCGTCCTTCTTCTCCACCTTCTTCTCCTTTCCTGCCACCTTCGTAGAAGGGGCAGTGAGTGCTGTGATAATAGCACGGAAGGCGAGGAGGGTGCCGAATAGGAGGATTGCGATAGTTCGGTTGTGGAGGGGGTCGATGGAAGGTGACGATTCGGGGGAAGAGGATGATACGATGAATTCCGAAGGGAGGATGGGGAGGAGGGTGTTGGTGAGAGGTGCGAGGACGGGGAGATGGCCCGCTAGAGCGAGGTAGACGATACTAACCAACGCTGCGCCCCATGCGTCTAGCGTACCGAGCAGACCGCCCTTGAGTAGAGAAGGAACACCGATAGACCAGCTGTCTCCGGCAAGACCAAAGAGCCCGACAAAGAGCCCGCCGGAGGTGATGGCGAGGGAAGAGAGAAGAGCGTAGGTAGTAAGGTTTGCAGCAGCCCCTACGCCTGTAGAGCTCTGGGACACCAGCGCAGGGAGGGCGGAGAGGGTAGTTCCCCTGGTCATACCGTCGACGTAGGCTGTGAAGACATTGAACAGGAGAGCGGGGGTGGTTTGGACGATGTAGGCAGAGAGGCCGGTGGGAACGAGGAGGAGGTAAATGGAGGGGTAGATGATCCAGGGAGTGGAGGATGTGAGCCAGGAAGGAGGCTGGCCGAGTAGTAGAGATACGACTGTGCTTCCACCCCCTGAATATATATTAGCGAATGGTCAAGAGAGATGATGCAAGAACCTACAAGCCATCACAAGATACCCGAACAGATCTTGCAAGGTGCCAACCCTGCCTTTCCGCCCCTTAGTCTGCGCCGCCCATACTGTCGTCACCCTTGCCGCATGAAGTGCCCCAAAGCGGAGATATGGGAGACATACAGGATGGATGGGAGTGGTAGTCAGGTGGTGGACAAAGTCGGAGAGCTGCAAGATGGAGGCGGATGGAGAGGGGGCGGTGAGGGTGAGAGGGGCGAGGCGGGATGCTTGCTGGGTGACAATGTCTGTCAAGTGTGCGAGGGCCATGGCGGATGGCTTTTGGCAGACGCGTGATTTGAAAAGAGGAGACAAACATTGAGGCGATGGGAATCTCGCGATAAGCACGCAGCGGAGGCACGGCGGACCTTGCCGTCTGTAATGTTGGGTTACCTTTCGTGGCGTCTCTTGAGCTCGCTCTGGAGGGCACCGTGCGTACACAGATCTCATGTAAACTGATCCAATACACGGGGAGCCACCTGCCGCATAAGCGTGAGAAGCAGGGGCTCAGAGAGCAGGAGGTGCCGCCCATACGAGCGCCATTATCTTTCGACCTGTCACCGGGTCTTGCCCGGCGCCAAAGATGAAGGACAGTCGTCATCATACGGCGAGATAGGATTGGGAATCAAAAGGCACTGATGAGTGCAAGAATATATGGGAATGTTCTGAAATGGAAGACTGGAGTGTCGAGAGCACTCGCAACAACCATGGTGGTGCTGTAAGTTGTGTCGGTACTTGTTAATCATCCCTGACGATCCATCACGCTGTCCTTGTCAGCACTGTGCAAAGCAGCTGGGGGGCATGATTCTTCCGCTCCCATGACTTCTCTGCCCTCTCCTCTTATACCCATTGTTGCCACGCGTAAAGCATCCGCTCCTCGCTGCCTGTCATCAGCCATCAATTGCGCAGTGTGATCGAGTGATGGAGGCGCATGTAGGGAGCGATCATATTGCAGCCTGGTTGTTTGTTTGACCACACACCATCGTCAACGGTCGGATCAAGCGAATTGGTGCTGGTGACATCCCTGATATACATGCATCCATGCCATATCTGTTTCGAGCCGAGCATATGGTGACTTCAGTTCAGGCGTGGCTCCTTCCGCAGAAGACTATACGCTCCAAAGAAGCAAGTCAAATGTTCTTGCAATCCAACCTTGTCCCAAAATACCGGATCTACCCCTGTATCGACTACATTCGTTCTCCTATCTTTCCGCAATGCTGTCAAGAGCTTATGAGTAGTACGCACATGTTGCGGGACCAAGAGCCGATTGACTCTCACGGCTGCTGAGAAAAAGCAATTATATAAATGAGCCAGCAGTTCTTTCTGCTAGCCCTCTATCGACCCTTTTCATTTCCCACTCGCCCCCAGCTGAATACATCTCTATACATTCTTATATTACCCGCTCAAGCTCGTTTCACCTCATCGGCCAGGTCCACAGCTGAGGTGAGCCTCCCCTCTTTGTGCCCACTTCCGCACTGACAACGTCCGTCAAAGCTACACCATGTCGTCAGCCACCCTAAACACCGACATTCTCCACCACACCCTCGCTCTCCTTCCAGCCTCCTCTCTCGCTACGAGCCTTTTGGCATCCAAGGACTTCTATAGGCTTTGCTCGCCGCTTTTGTGGAGGGAGGTCGAGCTAGATCTTGGCAAAGAGGGAGTAGAGCACCCGCTGGTGAAGGCTCTCATCGCCGGGAGTCGGAGTGAAGTACATGGAGATGGTTGGAGCACCTCGCCAGCACCATACGTCCGACACCTCACTCCCCTCGCACACACCAACGCCTCCCCCTGCTCTCACATCCATCCCCCAGTTTCAACCAGCGGACCCCACACCAACCCACTCCCAAACCTCATCACTCTCCACCTCACCATCCACCCCTCCTCCCCCGTCGGCTGGTCCTTCTGCGCCCCCTCAGACCGTGAGCGATACCCAATCTACCCCGCTACCCTGCCTTGCCCCTTACTCGAAATCCTCCGACCCCGAAGGCTCGTCATCAGCCAAGTCCGCGGCCTCGTCAGCCCGACGCCGTTCAGGAAGGGGTGCGGGGTATGGGAGGATGTGAGGGAAGTCGTGGTGAGGTTGAGGGTAGGGGGAGGGATGTGGAGTGTTAAGGGGAATAATTGTTTTTGGGAGATGCTTGGGGACAAGGTGGAGCGAATTGTGGTTGTGGTGGATGATCTGAAAGGTCGGGCGCTCCCGTTTGAAGGGGAGAAGATTGTGAAGGATATTCGTGATAGAGTAGTTCCTCTGGCTTTGAAGAGGGGTATCTCTATCCTTGTTGTCAACCTGCCTGTTTCACCCCAGAATTTCGAGATGGCGGGGAGCAGGGACGGATATGCGAAGGGGGACGTGGGAGATGTAATGGTAGAAGGGGAAGGCGAGAAAGGGGAGATCAAATTTGAGACGATGGAGGGGTGGTTGAAGACTGGCCAGTGGGTTGGGGTGTTTTCGCAGCAAGAGGTCAAGGTCCTCGACTACTACTCTCAGCCTTCTTTCAATCAATAATCAGACGTAATTTCGCGTAGCCTGTTGTAGATTAGCTTTACCGATCAGAAAGGGAAGAAGGACTAGTCAGATATATTTGTATGCAGTCAGTAACGAGGAACAACCCTGAGAGCTTACAAGCAGATACATGTTGATGATGACAGGCAAGATTCACCAGCCGGAAAAGTTGCCGAACCCGCCAGTCTTCTTCTTCTTCTTCTCCGCCCCAAAGTCCATGACTTCCGGTACCTTCCCCCCGACCTTCGCCCCCACCTTCCCAGCGCCCGCTCCCGTCCCTACGCTTCGCACAGCAGCAGCCTTCATATACTTGCCCACCCCGCCCTCCTCTTCCTCCGCTTTCCGCTTCTCCTTGACTGCTTTGCTCTCCCCTTTTTCACCGAGGTCGGTTCCGAGCCAGGTGGTTCGGTCTTTCTCGCGTTCGGCTTGTTTGGCAGCGCGCTTGGCGAGTGTTTCGGCGGATTGGTCTTGGCGGGCGAGTTTGGCTTGGAGGCGTTCTTTGTATGATTCGAATGGGTCTTGAAGCCTATCATGCCATTTAGTTACTGAAGTCGTTACGAGGGATGGAAGCTTACACATTGACACCGAGAATGACAAGATCCTTGACAGGCCTGTTACTGGACAGCACAGGTATCCGCTCAATCTTATCTAAGACGTCCTCCCCGCCGACGAGTTTTCCAAAGACGGTATGTTTACCGTCAAGGTGCGGTGTTTCGCGGAACGTGAAGAAGAATTGGGAGGTATTTGTGCGAGGTCCAGAGTTGGCCATAGACTAAAGAGGCGTCAGATACTAACTCAAAGTGGGTAGAGATGACTCACCATGACTCCCCGGCCATCATGCTTGAACGCCCCCTTCTCACTATACTCATCTCTAAACGGCTCCCCCCAAAACGACTGCCCCCCACTCCCCGTCCCCGTCGGATCACCACCCTGCACCATGAAGCCAGGTATCAACCTGTGGAAAACGACATTATCGTACTTGCCCTGCTTGGCGAGCTGGACGAAGTTGTACACTGTCTTGGGCGCGCGGTCGCCGTGGAGCTCGACGTTGAGCCCGCCGAGGTTGGTGAGGATGGTGGCGTAGGCTTTGCAGGCTTGGCGGTCTTTGTCTTTGACGACTTTTTGGAATTCGTCAAACATGTCTGGGGTAGTTCTGTCAGCTGAGGACGGCAAGGGGATGGAAGTGGGGGCGTACATTCTTCTTCGTCAAACATTGCGCGTTCGGATTTGAGTTGAGGGGTGAGGGCCGTACTCGTTAGCGATGCCGCTGCCCGACCGGAACTGTAATTTGACGCGTTGTCTATGAATCAAATCAGCAACCGTGATGCAGATCGCGGAATCAGGGACTAAACGTACAAGCAAGCTGTTCAACCTGCCTCTTCTTGGCTACGACTCCTTCCTTCTTCTTGCCTTCTGTAACTGCTGGTGGAGGCATTTCGGCTGCTTGTTCAGCTCTGGTCTGTATATCTGTTAGTGAAGGCAGAAATTGATTTGGGGCGAGGGCTGACCTTTTCAGCGATCATTTTGAGAACTTTGCTGGCACCTCCGGCGGCATCGACGTTGATACCTTTCAGAGGATCCCCGGCCATATCATCATCTGAGATATCTATCAGCCCATCTCTGCCACTGTGAAGATTCCACACTCGCCATTGACCTTCAACTCATTCTTCACATAATCATACTCTCTCAAGTCCCTAGCTCCAAGGTTTTCCGGGTCCTGGATCGTCACGATATCCTCCCTCTTGAACGGCTCATCATTCACCAGATCCCTCCAAGTCTTAGGCTTGATAGCCAGCAGTTGGAGAGAAGACATGTCAAAGACGTTGCCAGTGTTTTTGAGAAAGACGATGTGGATGTGAGGGGAGAAGACTTTGTAGGTGATGGGGTCGTGAAGGTTGCCTTCGGCGTTGCGGAAGAAGTTGAGCTTGATGAGCTGGGTTGTTTCGAGGGACTTTCCAGAGACAGGATCTGAACATAGATTAGTTGGGCGTACGAGAGTAAAAAGGGACCGAGGACGTACTGGTCTTGTACTTGCGGATGTACGGGACGATATTGAGCAGATCAAAGACGTCCGCCCGAGGAGCTTCTCCTTCCTTCGGCTCGGCGACAACTGCTACCGGGTTTCTGAAAGGCTGTAGGGAGAGAGCACAGCAATCGCTACGGATACTATCAGAACAGTCGTGAGCAGAGTTGCACTGAAGGGACTCACAAGGGCAATCTCTGAAATTCCGACTTTCCAGTCGCTGCTCTTTTGCCGTAGCTTGAGGCGGTGTGACTCCCCGCCGAGTGCTCGGCGTGGGTCACGTACATCTTGTCAGAGTTGTGCCCCATCGTGGATAGCTTTTTTTTGGGTGCTTTGCCGAGAAGAAAGACGTTGAGAGTGTCTAAAGTGCGAGAGCGATGGATTCAAGATGGATTTGTTGTGGCGAGTGGAAGCGGCGATGTCCGTTTCTTTTCGGAACTCCGGTCCTCCACTCACGTCTGTACTTTTCGGCAAGATACTCTTTTCGGTCAACAATTTTTATTACCATCACACCCAGGTCGAGTGGAAACAATCCGGCATCATGGACGGACAGGAAGCAATCGCTATAGGCATCCTCATCGCCTATTTCGGTCTCATCGGTCTCTCTTTCGCCTTGGTCTCTAGGTCTATCATCGCGGGTACAGAGACCTTGAAGCTGTGGGAGGGAAGGGCTTTCTATTTCTTGAGATCTGCATTTGGGGCTCTTCTGTGTACATGGTACTGTGAGTCGCCTGATATGGGATGAGAGTTGGAGCTGATTAGCCCAGACATGATCCAGTTTATGAACGCAAGCTGCTCGACGTACCAGGCGATGCTTTATTGACATGCTGTATAGTGGTCGTATGAAGACTTCAAGGCATCAAGAACATTGACGGGTGATGCTACCTTCGGCCAGTGGCTTGTCAACACGGCGCTCTTTGAGCAAGCTTGGACGATAGTCTGCAAGGGTGCTGGCAATTGGTGGTGGTCAAGTTGGATCTGCACCTGGACCATCTTGTTCACTGTCATCGTCTGGTCTGAGAGTGAGCATCTCTCATTCCCAAAAGGATGAGCTGACATATTACAGGCGGTAGACGCGGTATCAAATATGCTTACGCGTACATGCTCCTCGGCCAACTCGTTGCCATGTCCGTCGCTACCGCCCTCTTTCTCGTCGCCCTCTCCCTTCACCCGCGCACGAGCTCCAACCCCCGCAAAATTCCCTTCATCATCGCCATCCCCCTCACTCTGGCATTTGTCTCGGCATGGCTGCTGCCGCAACATGTGGGCACGGAGAGATTCATGAACTCGCTTTTGTGGCTCCATGGTGCGCTACTGCTACCTCTTATCAGCCCTGCCAAATCTGGACCCGATGGACAGGTTGAGAGTAATGGTGTTCCTCTGTCGCTGCTTTACCCGGTAATTATCGGACTGATGGGCTTCATCCACATCCCCGCAACCCAAGAACTCTTCCTCCGCCTCCCCACCTCCCGCACCTTCTCCTCCCACCTCCTTCAAGTCCTCTTTTCCCACCCCGCCCAGGCTTCGGTATCGCTCGATGTCGTCTGGGTCGCACTGGTAGTGACGTCGTGGTTTGTCATCACCGGACCTACTGCCTTGCGTATCGCCAAGGCAGCTCTGGTCGGTATCGTCGGCGCGCTATTCACTGCTCGATACCTCGGTGTAAACTGGACACTCATCGCCAGTATCATCCCCATCTTCTTCCTCCTCTCCGCCGGTGGCGCCACCCTCTACATCCAAAACCTCCGCCGAACGAACCTCTACAAACGTCAGTCGTTGATGGATTCCATGGGCATGCCTGATGGTACGCTCGTCCAAGGTACGGGCAGCAAGCCGCCGGGGTTCAGCAGTCAGAAGACGGTGGTTGGATTTTGGCATCCGTTCTGTAATGCTGGTGGCGGTGGAGAAAGGGTGCTGTGGGTTGCTATCAGGCATATTCAGAAGACGGACAAGGAGACGATGGTTCTGGTGTACTCTGGCGACTACCCTGAGGCTTCCAAGGAAGAGATCATTGGGAAAGTCAAGGTGCGTTCCCGGTCCCAAGCTTGGTGTCCCATATGCTGAAGTACTTTGTAGGAGAGGTTCTCAATCTTCCTCGACCCTTCAAGATTGCACTTCATCCCTCTCCGATCGCGATACCTCGTATCAGATGGGTACTGGAAACATTTTACGCTCCTGAGCCAGTCGCTCGGAAGCATCCTCCTGGCTTGGGAGGGGCTATGTGGCAAAGACGGTCTATGGGGAGATATCTTCATCGGTAAGTTATCAGCCAGTGGGATATCTGAGATGCTGACTTGATCGCAGATTCCATGGGCTACGGTCTGACTTATCCCACTGTCCGACTGATTGCCGGCCCCGATATCGCCATCGGGTCGTACACTCACTACCCTACAGTTAGCGCCAACATGGTGAAACGGGTGAAGGAACGGGTGTATGGTGTTGAGAATGCTGGTGCTTCCAAGAGCTGGATCAAGACTCAGATCAAGCTCATGTACGTCTCCCCTCTTGCAACCCCGTAGAATAACCCGCTGATCACCTGGCAGATATTACTACATCTTCACTTCAATCTACTCGGTCTCCCTTCTCTACGCCCAACACATTATGACCAACTCTTCCTGGACTCAAGCCCATATCCAATCACTTCTCACTTCTGCTCCATCCTCCTTCCTCGCCTCCATCTTGCTCAAAGACGAGGTCTCAGTACAAAAGCAGAAAGAGAGAGGCGAGCTGGCCGAAGGGGAGGGGTTGGAGTGTGGGGTCGTGTATCCACCGACGGATACGACAGAGTTGGCGAGGTTGGGAGGGTTGGAGAGTAGGAAGAGGGAGATCGTGTCGCTAGCTCAGTTTAGGTGCGTGAATCGTTATCAGTATGTGTGTTTCACTGACACGGGTTTGATAAGGCCTGAGAAAGACCATGCCAAACAGCTGTATGCGTTATCAGCGATGTTTGAAAAGTATCCTCAGTACCGACACGGGTCTCAACGGGTCACGTTGGCACTGATGGGCGGTGTCAGAGATGCGGGCGATCAAGCTCGTTTGGACGGCTTGAAGACGCTAGCAAAGAAGCTAGAGATTGACGTATGTCTTCTCTCTTTTCTGTTATCTATGTCCTTATCCGATAAGCACTCGAATGATCACATGGAGCGAGGCTGATGGAGAATGACAGGAGAATGTAGAGTTTGTGATCAGTGCGCCGTACCCGGAGATAGTGAAGAGGCTCGGTCAGGCGTCCTTGGGGATAAACACGATGATGGATGAGCACTTTGGTATCAACGTTGTAGAGTTCATGGTGAGTCTCTCGGACCGTCTCGGACATGGGCATTGCTGATAGAGACGCTAGGCCGCTGGTCTGATACCGCTGGTGCATGCGTCGGCTGGGCCTCTGATGGACATCGTGGTCCCGTACAATGGACAACGTACAGGTGCGTTATCTCGTGGCTCATCTATCTGCCTTATCGCACGTCTGACTCGTATCTAGGTTTCCACGCGACAGACGCCGCCTCGTTCGCCGAAGCTATCCATGCTGCCTTGTCTGTCTCCCCGAAAGAGAGCTTGAAGATGCGCAAAGCGGCAAGACAGCTGGCGGTGGAGAAGTTTTCGGAAAGGAAGTTTGAGGAAGATTGGGATGTTGGGTATGAGAGGTTGAGGGAAATTGCTTGGAAGAGAAAGTAGAGCGAGGCTGTCAGTGAAGATGCATTCAGTAATTAATGACTGCTTTGGAACGTGCACGGCTGGGTCAACATACGTGCGACGACATCGAGTACGACGCTGCTGAAGGGTCGGTCGGGTACGGCATGATCCGGTGTTGTCCGACGGCAATAAACTTTTGCTTATCCGCCTTTCACTCTATCAGCCTATCAGGCGTGCGAATGCGTGGAGCATGACTTGGTCCTGGATCCTGGAAAGATAAGATGGGAGCCAAAGTAGGAAAGACCATATCAATCAATCGGTAACTCTGTCGAAGCAAGCTTTCGTGAAGAGGTGATCTATGAAGTCATGATCATCACAATTCACAACAAGTGGGTCTTTATCTTGGTGCGGATTATAGTGCAGCTTTGGGAGAGTAATACAAAATAAAATACAGGCTGACAGTCGGTGATGGATATCGATCACCCCGACGGCCTAGAGTCCTAGACCGCCTCTCGCGTCATTCACTAGCGGTGACTGCCCTGGAGAGTAACGCAAGAAACTGACCCCGCGATCGGCCTTGACGGCACTTGGACGGCACTCAGCTCTTCCTCTTGGTGGTGTTCTCTTGTTGAGCTCTGAGTGTTTTCACTCTGCAGGGTCAGGAGTCTCCCATGTGGATGGAAATAGGGGTGTGACTGCAGTAGGTTTCCCAGAAACAGCGGACAAGAGAACGAGAATCGAGATCAATGATGCCAGTATGTAGCATTAATGATTCCCACACAAACGCATTATTATATTCGCCCGGCATACCCAGAAATTCCAGCAGATGTCTCACACTGGTTCACACTGGTCACGCTTGCCGAGGATGGAGTATTGGCGCCGTGACGATAATAGAAGGACAAAAAAGAAGCAATCACCCAACGTAAGACTGCCGGCGAGAGCTCATCATGGGAATCTCCAAGCCCTCAAGCTGCACTGCACTCTGTCCAAGCTGTTTAAAAATGCTGACATGCGAACGACGTCTCTGACGATGGATATGTAATTTGTGCAAGTATATCACAGCACTTATATCGCACCGCAAACCGTGGAGAACAGCCGCATAGTGGCCCCTCGCCATGACCAACATTCACATACATCTGGTGTAGCTTTCAATCCTCTTCATTCACTTTCTTCCATTCTCATATCATAGTCCAGGCTCTCTCTTATCTATAACCCTATATCGCTGCAATCAGCCTATATAAGCTCTGTCAGTCGGACGACGGTCGGGAGCAAGACTGGCTTCTTTCAAGCCAACAGGCAGAGGCAGGAAAGAGCGGACTCTTGCGCCTTGCAGCTGTCGCTCGTCACAGGGACTCACAGCAGCCACAGACAAGCGTACGCAATTCAAACGGGAGCTTATACTTAATCTCGGACGCCTGAAGTCTAATCGCTGTGGAGACTGTGATTATCCACGACGTGAGTTGTCGCGACTTTTAATTACCAAACAGGCTCGTCCTTGTCAGAGACTCAGAGTCATAGCCAACTCTGCTTCCCCCACCATATTCTCTTTCATCCATACTTCTCAAGACTCTATACTCCTCTTGTGGATTGGTTCAGTGTGTGTACCAGACGTGTCTAGAGGTGTGCTGACCGCGTCGATAGTCGATACATAACAACCACCTCTTTCCTTATCTTCCTACAATCTTGCCCATTCATCCACCATCCACCGATCACTCCCTACTTGCAAGCTCGTCCGAAGTCTTTCCCACACTTCCGGGTCATTCCTAGTCTTTCGGTGGTGGTCTAATACTCCAGGAGATTGCCCAAAAGAGTCTAGTGAGTAGCGCGGTGACACGCTGAAAATTAGTATGACGCTGAATTCGGACCCCCGGTCTTTACATACAGTTCTTTCCAAAGCCCAACCGACCCCTATCGTCACTTGTCCTATAATCGGCACGCCACCCTCTTTCATCTGAGAATCGTATCTCCACTCCTTTCGGCAACACCACTTCCACGTGTTATAACCACCAAAACTCGCTGTCCTACCCGTTGGCCAAGTTTCAGACCGCTCAAACGCCCCGTGCGCGACACAAACAACAACACCTCGGCACATTGTTTTGAGGAACAATCACACACAATAGGCCTTTCTTATTGTCCTCCTCAAACACCGAATTCTCCCTGTATAAGTTGCTTGCGGCTGTGCATATATATATATATATATAATCACCCAAGCACATACGCCATCACCCCCTTCTTTCCATCACTTTCGACACGTCGGCTGGTCTTGACGATCTCCCCCACGCTCTCTCGACGATATCAACTTGGGATAGATATCAAAACGTATGAGCGTCGCTGGAGCGACTTTTGAAGTTATGTCTACGTTCAAGTTTCTGGGGATAGCGACGGTGAAGGCTCTGGATACAGTGAGTCATTCTCTCTTGCTTGTCTGTCGTACTCCGCTGATTCCGGAGTAGCTGCCATTATCGCTGCTGGTGGTCATCTTTCTCGCCTGTCTGGCCTTGCTCCAATGGCCGTACGTCTATCAAATGCAGGTGAAAGATTGAAAGCTGACCATCGCCTGAAGGTTCCCTCCATCCCCTTCTCTACTCCCTACTCATACCCCTCCGACATACTCTGAAAAACTCGCCGGCTCGCATACATTCCCCTCCAACCCCTTCCCCGCCGCTTCCTCCCAAAAAGCTCTCGGCCATGGCCACCCCCAAACCCAGTTGTACACTGTGGCTGTGACGACGGTGAACGGCCAGCAGCAGGTGGTGCAGGTCTTGCAGCCGTCGGGCAAGGGAAGGAATGTGAGGAGGGGGAGTAAGCAGTTGAGAGAGTACAGATCCGGGCTGGGCGTTTTGGAGGAAGTTGATGGGGAGGAAGCTAGGGAGGTTGTTTGATCGGCCCTAGAGGCTCGGTCGAGACGTTTTTTATGGACATGTGCTACATTCTTATCTTTTTGGGTGGGTATATCGATAGACCTGTTACCTTCTTGCTTGTAGTTACGGCACTTATTTATATTCGGGCTGTGTGTAGCTGTATTACTCTTCTTTGTGATAATAACGTTGTGTATAGATGGGAATCCCCAAGACCAGAATGAAAATACAGATTAGATGGGAAGAGCCTTTAAATCGTGGACGATATCGATTGACAGGACTCATTCCATACTCGCGCGAATGTGTTTATTTTAGCTTCAATTTCCAAAATCTGAGTAGGATCGCCGACCCCAGCCCCCAGCACAGCACTTGTAGATACCCTCCTAAATATACTCGCGCTGAAGCGTGGAAGCTCAGATGAACGGCCATAGCCTCCTCCAAGTACTGCATACCGTCTGGTCTGAAATACCGACAGCTTACTTGTTGAGATGGCGGCTCCGCTTTCGCCAAGACCAACAGGTTATGAGCCTCGGATCTCTCCATAAAAGAACAATCCACCATGACAAGCGGGTGACCCGCATCCATGTAGAAAAGAAGTGCCATAGTGGATTGTCCCTTTGTGAGGAGATCGGGACCCAGGACCGGTTGATCTCGGGGAGAACGAATCCCTCATCGCACAAGCGACCGTCGGCTGCACTTCCTACTTGATAGGCTTGGGGCTGAATCATACGGGTCGGGCCGTGCTTGATCGCGATATGAAAAGGGAGTAGATGTAGCAGCGCCACTGGTTGTAATAAGTGGGAATGGAAGATGATGGAGAACAAGAAGAAGCGAGAAGGAACGAAAAGAAAGAAGGTATGGGCGGCGCGCGCCTTTTAGAAAATAGGCATCGTTCGATACAACGCGCGTCTTCATCATCGTCACTTGCAGATTACAACAAACCACGTCTATACTCCTTCTCTTCCCCTTTCCTCCCCTACACCACCCAACATGCCCGAGGAAGAACGCCCTACATCTGAAATTGCCGTCACTTCTCAAGACCCCGAGCCAAAAGACGCCGACAAGCCCAAGAACGCTGGCGACAAGGGCAAGGGCAAGGATGACGGCAAGGAGGAGACTGAGATGGTGCGTAGAATGCTAGATTTTTTTTGGAGTATAAGCTGATGAACCAACAGAGTGAGGAGGACCAACAGCTGAAGGCGGAGCTGGAGATGCTCGTCCAGCGTTTAAGAGTGAGTCGGCTGTCATTGATGGGTCAAAAACAGTTGCTCACGACGTGACAGGAATCCGACACCGGTCTTTACCAACCAGCCTTGGAGTCCCTCAGAACACTTATTCGAACATCCACTAGCTCCATGACCTCCGTGCCCAAGCCCCTCAAGTTCTTGAGACCGTTCTACGAGGAGATGACGACCATCAGGGAAGGCTGGAGCGATGATTTGACGGAGCAGAAGGTGCGTCTTCTGATCAAAAAGATGAAGAACAAGTCTGACACCGTGACAGTCTCTCCTCGCCTCTATTCTTTCCGTCCTCGCTATGACATACTCGGACAGCGGCAAGCGCGAAACCCTCTGGTTCCGTGTCCAGTCTGGCTCTACAGAAGCACCCGGTCTCTGGGGCCACGAATACGTCCGACACCTCGCTTCTGAACTCGGAGAAGAGTACGCTGCTACATTCGCTGCCCTGGCAGAGGATGCCGACATTGCCGAGCCCAACTCCAAGTACACCACTCAGCAATTGAAGGACCTCGCTCTCGAGCTCATCCAATTCTTCTTGCAACACAACGCAGAGGCGGATGCGGTGGATATCTTGTTGGAGGTGGAGAGCATTTCTGCGATCACAGAGTATGTGGACGACAAGACGTTTGAGAGGGTCTGCAGATATATGGTCAGCTGTGTGCCGTTGCTTGTCGCCCCGGACAACATTGCTTTCCTTGAGACTGCTTCCATCATCTACTCCAAGTACGACCGATATCCCGAGGCGTTGGCTCTTGCTGTACGACTCAACAACCCCGAGTTGATCCGCAAGTACTACGAGGCTCCTCAAAATCCGTAAGTCCATTCACGTCTCCGCGAAATGCGTACTCATGGACCCATAGCGTCATGAAAAAGCAACTTTCGTACTTCCTCGCCCGCGCCCAAATACCTCTTCACTGGGTCCACCGAGCTGAAGATGCCGAGGGTGATGAGTCCATCCCCACGTTATCAGACGAGGTTCTTGAGTGCCTTGGCAACGTCAAACTTGCCACCCACTTCAAGAACTTTGGCAAGGCCGTCGGTGTCGAGGAGCCCAAGTCTGTCGATGACATCTACAAGACCCACCTCGAACCTTCCAGCCGCAACACCACCCTCCCCGACTCTGCCCGTCAAAACCTTGCATCTACGTTTGTCAATGCCTTCGTCAACGCCGGTTTCGGTAACGACAAGCTTATGGTGAACGCCCCCGAAGGCCAGAGCTGGATCTACAAGAACAAGGAGCACGGTATGAAGAGTGCTACTGCTTCCATCGGTTTGAGCTTGCTTTGGGATTCTGAGAACGGTATCGACCATATCGACAAGTACTCTTACTCGGCCGAAGAGCACATCAAGGCCGGTGCTTTCCTCGCCACTGGTATCGTCCACGCCGGTATCCGATCCGAGACCGACATTGCCTACGCCCTTCTCGAAGAACACGTAGACAGCAAGAGCATCGAGCTCAAGGTCAGCGCCATCAACGGTCTTGCCATCGCGTACGCTGGGTCTCAGAGGCAAGACATTGCCGACAAGCTCTTGCCGTATGTCCAGGACGAGGCGACGCCCATGGAGGTGACCTCTCAGGCTATCTTGGCGCTTGGTTTCGTGTTTGTCGGGTCGTCCAATGGTGATCTGGCGAGTGAGATCTTGCAGACTTTGATGGAGAGGGAGGAGAGTCAGTTGGCGTCTGAGTGGACCGTCTTTGCTTGTTTGGGCCTCGGTTTGCTGTATCTTTGTACGTTACCATTCACGTTAAAGGTCCTTACTGACGTCGTTTGCAGCCGCTCAGGAAGAATCAGAACCCACCCTCGCCACTCTCAAAGCCATCGAACACCCCGTCGCCCAGATCGCCCAAACCATCGTCGAAGCCTGTGCCGACGCTGGTACCGGCAACGTCCTCAAGATCCAAGAGCTTCTCTACATCTGCGGCGAGCACGCTGCCAAGAAGGAGGAGAAGAAGGAAGAGGCCGCGGCCGTCGCTGGCGAAGGGGAGGGATCTGCATCTGCCACCGAGGTCCCTGGACCTCTTCCCGTGGCTGGTCAACCTGCTGAGCCTCAGCCGGCCGGTGCTCCCTCTGATGCTCAAGGGGACGTGACCATGTCTGACGCTCCTGCTGAGGGTGGTCAAGCCGACGGTGAGGCCCAGCCTGCTGCCGAAGGTGCCGCCGAGGAGGGCAAGGAGGCCAAGCCTGCTGCTGAGCTCAAGTACCAAGCATTCGCTACCATCGGTATCGCTTTGATCGCTATGGGCGAGGAGGTCGGCTCGGATATGGCTTTACGGCAATTCCAGCACTTGATGACTTATGGCGACCCCATCATCCGCAAGACCGTCCCTCTCGCTTTGGGTCTTATCTCCGCCTCCAACCCCCAACTGCCTATCCTCGATACCCTCTCGAAATATTCTCACGACTCTGATCTCGATGTGGCAATCAATGCTATCTTGGCGATGGGCCTTGTGGGTGCTGGTACGAACAATGCTAGATTGGCGCAGATGTTGAGAGGATTGGCGGTGTATTATGCCAAGGAGGCGGACTGTTTGTTCATGGTTAGGATCGCTCAGGGCTTTGTGCACATGGGCAAGGGTACGATCGGTATCAACCCTTACTACAATGACCGTCAAGTCATGAGCAAGACTGCTGTTGCTGGTCTTCTTTCCGTCCTCGTCTCTTTCACCGACGCCAGGAAGTGTAAGTAATCTCAGTATTTGATTAGATGGTTTGCTGATTTGTGAATAGTCGTCTTGAGTAACTCTCACTGGATGCTCTACTGGCTCGTCCCCGCCATGTACCCCCAATTCCTCATCACCCTCAACGAAGAACTCGAAGAGGTCCCCATCACCGTCCGCGTCGGCCAGGCTGTCAACACTGTTGCCCAGGCCGGTACACGACACGGTATCAGTGGTGTACGTGTCCTTTTTACGCTCATTGCGAATGTTGGATATGAAGCTCACATGGGGTATAGTTCCAAACTCATCAATCACCGGTACGGATCGCGACTACAGAGAGAGCGGAGTTGGGCACGAACGAGTTCTTCCCTTACCAGAGTGTGTTGGAGGGTTTGGTGATCCTTAAAAAGTACGTCTCTCTTCTATCAAGAAGTGTCGAGATGCTATGCTGACCTAGATCGCAGGAATGAGGGATTCAACGCTGAGGACATCCACGCATAGAGGGGTGGAGTAGGTAATCGTTGAGAGAGATGCTGAGATGGGCGGAGATGTTTAAGAAGGTGACATTCGAAGAAATACGTAAAAACTTTGCATGGATATGTACTCGTAGAATTCTGACTCTCAATGTTGAATCCATGGGACCTTGGCTACATAAATCCGCTAATCAGTAGTGCCCAACAATAGACGATGTAAAAGATTTGAGTAGTGCACGGATCGGGGGACAGCCAGAAACTTTCAAACATCAACAAGGGACTGTGTTGCAGTGGTAGCATTCAAGACTTCGAGGTCTTAAAAACTGGAGTTTCATCTTGCGGTCACGGGTTCGAATCCTGTCGGTCCTTGTCTTTTTGTCCTACGAGTACGAGTTTTTTGCTGTCTATGCTTTTGGCCCTCCGTTCAATCGTCTCCGGTATGAGAGGGCCATAATGATCCTGGATATTCGCATAAAAACTGCGTACTCAGGCCTGACTCGATCAGAGATCCAGAGATGCAATCTGATGCCGTCCCCTTTGGCCGAGCCGAAGAGTCGTTTGTTTTAACCCGACAGCCGGCTTTCAAGCAGCGCAATTCATCCCGCTCCTTTTATCTTTACCTCCAACTCGTATTCTCTTGCTGCGTCCCATTCTTCGCCCTTCTTCGTCCCATCTACCGCGCCCCCTAGACCCCGCCGGTGGGCCAGGACAAGCGACAGAGGCAGCTGCAAGCACGCTGCCCGGACGCCAAACATCCTTCCCTTCACCCCAGCCGGCCTTTTGGACAGGTATGTGACACGCGTCGTTCTTCTCTTCTCTTCCCCCGCGTCCTGTCGCATCTTACTCCTCCAGGACCATGACTGACATAGCATACTCCACTTGTAGCAGGTTGTGCATTCTGCCACTCATCCTTCCCAGTTCGGCAAGTCCGGCACGAGTCAATCAAGGCGCGTTCTCGCATCAACTGCTCTAACGTTCCGTCGCCTCGTTGCACGTAAGCATTCCCCCATCTTACTTCTTCCTGTCACTCTCCACTCCAAGATTGAGCAGAGACTGATGCGCTCATAGTGGAACACCACCTTTTTCCCACCGCCTTCCCGGTGCTTAATTTGCCGCAAGACCTTGTTCCTTCCCGCGCTCCTGATACACCACAACAATCTCTGACGATGATCCCCACCGAGACGCCTACCACCTCCCCCACCCCCGCCCCGAGCCCCAGCCCAGCGACACCCATGACGCCTCCAGCCACTTCTCCCCTCCCGCCTCTGTTTACATTCAAGCGCTGGGGATCTTCGTCGCGCAAGTCCAAGCGCGCCAGGTCGGAGGACGTCGATCCGTTTTCTGGCACTGCTGGGGGTGAAGACGATGTCTTGCGGCGCTCGGTTTCAATTGATGATGGGATGGAGGTGGAGGATGATGGGCTCTGGGAAGATGATGGGCTGAGGAAGAAGGGCAGGAGGCTGTCAATACCAGCGGCAAGGCCTCTGGTTCGGGCGCGTTCAAGCAAAGCCAAGTTGAAGAAGGTGGAGAGTCTCAGCAGCTCTTCATCCACTTCCCTTGAGCTTGCACGTACTATATCGCCTGATAGCCCCGAGCCTGCTGCTAAGCGCGCCAGACAGAGGTCGTCCTCCACGTCGTCGACGTCATCTATGCCGGGTCTGACTGGAGTGTTGTTTGAAGGGAAGACGCCTTCGTCGCCTAGTACGAGTCCGGAAGCTCCTGTGGATGCGACAATGCCTCTGCCTGCTCGGCCTCCGACGAGACCGCCTCAGATATTCTCATACATCCCTTCACCGCTGGCTACCGCCCCCGTCATGTCCCCCACCCTCTCCCCACCTACCCCATCTTCCCCCGCTCCCCCCCAGCTCGACCTCCCCCTCTCTGTCCCGCTCCCCCTACCTGTGTCTCCTCGAGAAGATGCGGAAGTCATCGTCGCCACTGCGCAGGTGACGAAGTCGAAAGCTTTTTGGAGGGATGTAGAGGATTTAGGGGCGGAGCTTGGGAATGTGCTCAAACTTGGCTTTGGGAGGGGTATGAACAGGGGCGCGGGGGGACAGAGGAAGCCTAGTAGGCTTAGGAGCAGTCTTATTGTGGACGAGGAGGCGGCAAGGGAGGAGGAGAGGAGGGAGAGGTATGGGAGGATGGATACGGAATAGGTGAGTATCTTTCGAGCAGGCTGGATAAGGGCATTCAGTGACCTTTTACAAGCAGGCCTGCCCTCCATCCACGACCACTTTCTTCACTTCCACATTCACTGCATCACGTTCCAACACATTCCATCATGACCCCATTCAACAACAAACCCAGCCAGCATCTTGTACGACCTTTTCACAAGAAGAAAGCGTCACATCCCGTGAAACCCCTTCTCTTTCTTATAGATATCACATCACTTGTAACGACCCATTCTCTATCTCCATGACTGTCTTCACATCACTTTGTCTTGATCTCTCAACTTTTTTCTTCTTACGTGACACCTTCTTTTTTTCCTCTTATGATTCTTCTACAGATCTTGTACGGGTATGACGAGCCTTCTTTCTTTCCCTTTGGTGGTTTCTCACAGTTGTCTCATGCATGAGCTTTGTATTCTCCACTTCTTTTTACTCTCCAGCTTCTTCTATCTGACTTTATCGTGCACCACCAATAAATAACCTTCCATATCATCTTTTTCGGCAAAAGCGACAAGATAAAAGACGTAAAGAACTGATTGATTCGGAATATTCTTTGACCCGATTTACGTCAGCAACACGTGGCCCCGGACGAAATCAGCCAACTGATAAAAACGCTGATAAAGGTCAGGAACGATCGGTTTTGGCCTGGGCCCCGCGCGGTTGTTTTTGGCCGATTGTACTGCCAATGTACTGCCTGGGTTGTTGCACAATGCAATGCAGAGTAAGTGGGTTGACTGGTTATGCTAGGATAATCCTAGAACATTGTGGATACTAGTACTGACCCCGGGTAGTTTCGGCATCGTACTATGTGGGATAGGGATTTCAACTTTCAATCTGGTTCAACCGCTGCATATGATATGACCTCGTGCCAAGCTCATTACCGATTGTACTATGGGACTATCATACAGGAGCCGCTCAGACACAGAAGGCCAAGCCTACAGTCGGCGTTCGACATACGTACTGCCCTTGTTGTTTGACGCTACCTGCTGCTTCTTTGACGGACGTCTGTCACAACCTGCATGAAGCGATTAGCGTAATCCCATATCGAAACTTGCCCATATCGAAACTTGATAACCCACATTGGGGCGAACGGGGGTAAAGTCGACGAACAAGAATGCAGATGTGCAATGAACGAAAAGGGAGCTCATATCTTGATAATAGCGTTATTATCAACCTTGGGCCCGGGTTACCCTAGGTGCCCTAGGACAGGCTCGGGCAATCCCGGAGGCCGAAGCCGAGGCCGAGATGAGCCCTACGACTAATATATATGGGCAGTATGAGTGGCCGCTCAGAGAAGCATGTCCACTCGTCACCATCCCTTTCCATACGGAGCGCATCATACTCGCAAAATGCCATTGGAAGTCAAAACCATCCTCGTCACTGGTGCCAATCGCGGGTACTTCATCTCCTACCTCAAACGATTGCAACCCGCTGACCCTCTTGTAGGATTGGACTTGAGATTGCAAAGTCCTATTTGGATAAGGGGTGGAAGGTCGTGGCAGCCGTGAGGGATGTTGGCAAGATGCCGAAGCTCGAAGGGGATCTGCTAGTCCTCAAGATTGATGCTGCGTATCTCACCGATGCTCAAGAGGTCGGTCTGCTACTATCATCCCTCTCCATGGACCGACACTGATGGGGATTCAAGGCTGCACAAGAGCTTCGCACCAGACACAACATACACGACCTCACCATCCTCCTTGCCAACGCCGGCGTAGGTCTTATGGGCCCCACGCTGGCCCAAACCCCCGTCGCTTCATTCGAAGAGTCTATACAAATCAACACCCGCGGCCCCTTGTTACTCTACCAGGCTTTCAGGGATATTCTGGGTGATGGAGAGGGAAAAACGTTTGCGGTAGTCAGCTCAAAAGGAGGGTCAATCCTAACGCCAAAGAGGATCGGATTTGGAGTTTATGGGTGTTCGAAGGCTGCTGTCAATTTCTTGGTACATCATGAATGATGTTGAGGGGATGGCTGACTGTAATGGTGTAGGTACGCGCTATCCATTTCGAAGAGACAAAGCTGAAAGCTTTTGCCATTCACCCTGGATGGGTTGAAACGTGCGTCCCCCTTATATCAAATGGAAGAATACTGTGAAGCTGACCAGCTGCGTGTCTAGCGAAATGGGTATAATGGCGTCCACCAAAGCGAACATGAATGGCACCACTCCTCAGAGATTGGAATACACCGTTCGTGAGTTGTTTCTACTTTGAGAACTTGTTGATCATCGAGATGAAGACTGATGATATGTGAATCACAGCGGGAATCATCAGACTGTTGGAGACCACCACGAAAGAAGAACATTCAGGATGGATGTGGGAATAGTATGTGTTATTTTGTGGCTATCAAAGACGAGGCTGATGTAGGGCTTGATAGCAATGGCAACAAAGCTTCTCTTTGAGGCTCAGGCTCGTGGTCTCTGTCTACGCTCCATGCAGAGGCGGGTCGGCCGACGTACCGGACCGGAGCCTCTGTGCCAAGGTGACGGGGAGGTGTATCGTTTGATGTATAGTGTCTGTAGAAACCGATGCCAAACAACGGCGATCGATAATTGATTTGCCCAGTACATATATATGTGGGCGCTTCACTTGCTGCCCGGCGGAGACAGATCAACTTGCTGAACATGTATCGTATCGTCGTAACTCTTTTCATACGGCGTATGCGGCCGATACAGATGAACACTGGAATCCGATGAATGAGGAGGTGCCGAAGATCTTTGCAGCCAAACGTCGCACGTTGTCGATCACGTATGTGCACTAGAATGCACGCCATTCGTCGCAAGAAGAAGGAAGAAAAACTGAAAGCGCGAAGAGAAGAATTGGTTATGGACTGAAGTGTCACCCAGTTTTGGACCGCTGCTGTCTCTTGTGATCTGTGAGAACTGAGATCTGTGACTTCTTCATAGCTCATAAGTCATATCATACGTATAGCCCATACATAAGCAGCCTTGTAGCGAAACGGGAGACTTAGCGCACGCACGGGACCAAAGAAGACACCAAAAACTTGAGCAAAAGTGCAAGAATATGTGACAGTCGACAGAACCGTCTAGCATCGATCCCACTGTCTGGGAGTATTCAAAGACAAAAGGTCAGAGTACATACTCCACAAAAAGTCTCGAAGGTAAGTGTCTCTCTGAAGCATGGGCGAGGGAGATTGCGGATGCGTGTTCCCGCCAAAGCTCCGGCATGCCTCGCCGGAAGGCCGACCGGCGGCGGTGTCCACTGTTTCACTCTGGTTTCACTCAGGTTTCACTCGTCTCGGTGTCTGAAGAGAAACGAAGGGCGGTGCCAAAATTAATCTCTATCCCTTACATCTTATGCGTTACTCGGTTCGAGCAGCCTGTGCTCATCATCGCATGGTGCATCCCAGAGGACAGATATCGATCCTCAGCCAAATATGACGCTGGGTACCATAAGATTCGAGTATGTCTAGGTCACCCGAGAAAGGTCGAGGTTCGACATGGGCCAGTGCCAAGGTGAGTACATCACACCGGGGACGAGAATGACGGTGCTCATTGTCACCTCCGAGATCTACATCCTACAAAATGCACCCCCTACCACTTTACCAGGTTGGCCCCTCCTCTCGCACATCTCTTTCTCGTCGTCCTGTAGTATTTGATCTCCGCTGGTCGGCATCCTCGGGAGAGGATAACGAAAGGTATTTCCGCCTCCGGCTAACGAACGAATCATGTCTTCCAAAGAGAGCCCCCAACTCCTCGAGTCGCCCATTCCGTCTTTCGAGGAGCCCTCGCGCCACCGCCGACAAGAGTCCTCCCCGACCTCCTCCTCTACCGAATCAGGCCCCATCAGCCTACACCCCCTTGCTCAGCTTTCTCCCCTCAAGAAGAGTGTTCTTCTATCCATCTTTGCTCTGGCAGACTTTATAGATGTCGGCAATGTGTCGGGAGTTGCCGTTGCTGTGTCGGACATCACGAAGGATATTGGTATTCAGTCATCTCAAGGCGTTTGGGTAAGCGCTTCTTCCTCTTTCCACTATTCCAGGCAGACGCTGACCTCAGTATGAACTAGATTATTACATCGTATAGCATCTGCTTCTCAGCATTTCTCCTCTTCTCTGGTCGGCTGGCCGACTTGTTCCCTGCCGGGATAGTCTTCGAGGGAGGATTTGCGCTGTTGGGCATCCTGAGCTTGGCCACGTCGTTCGTCACGGGTAACAAGTGAGTTAACTCCTGACAGTGCAGGAGTACGCCATTGACATACCGGAGCTGACACAATTGCAGGTATGGCTTCTTGATTTTGAGGGGGCTGGCTGGTGTTGCAGGCTCGTTATGTGAGTGACCAGGAGGCCTTCTCGACTGAGGACGTCAGGCGCTGACCATGCTTCCTCGATCTAGCTATACCATCGGCGTAGTACGTTCATCAATAGCGCTCTTACTATTAAACGACTGACACCATACCCACAGTCACCTAGTTATTCACATGTACCCCGAACCTAAACAACAAGCCTCCAAGCTAGCTCTTCTAGGCCTCGCAGCCGGCCTCGGCAACGTCTTTGGCCTGTACGTCTCCTCATCTTTCCCACTCCACTTCAATTATAGCCGACGCTTACAACGTAATAGGGTACTAGCCGGTCTGTGTATGGAAGCCTCGTACAAATGGTTCTTCCGCCTCATCGCCATCCTCTGCCTCGCTTCCACCGCTATCGCCCTCTGGCTCCTCCCATTCTCACTCTCGTCAACGTATTCAACCGAGGCGAGGGAGGAAGGGCAGAAGAAGGTGCCGAGGTGGAGGCTGATGGACGTACCCGGGGTGTTGCTGATGATGGGGTTCTTGATTTGTTTCATTTTGTCTCTTACGCAGGTGAGTACGCTTGAGGACATGATGGGCTGAGCTGACGAGTTGAACAAGGGGCCGATAGATGGATGGGGAGCCGTGAGCTTTATCGTACCGTTCGTGATTTGCTGGCCGTGCGTCGTCGGCTTCTTCGTCTGGGGTACGTTCCATATCGCGTAATTTCATGCCAGAGCTGACCGAGGCGCAGAGGCTAGAATCTCTCCCAAAACAGCCATCCTGCCCAGTTCTGTTTGGAAGATTACAAACTCCGTCGTCGCCTCTCTGGCCGTACTGATCCCTATGGGATTCTGGGGAACTTCTCAGCTCTTGTACGCCAATTATTGGCAAGACGCGTTTCACTGGAAACCTTGTAAGCTTTTTACCGTATTCGGGAGGTGGAAGACGTGCTGATGATAGATAAAGTGCATGTTGCGGTTTGTATGCTGCCTCAGGGTGTTGTGACTTTGATTGTCGGAGGCGTGGTGCAGTTCTTCCCTTCGATGATTGACAAGCCGCGGAGGTTTATCCCCATTGGATCTGTCCGTATGTGAACCTCTTCTTCTTTTCCTTGTTTCACGTTTGATAGCTGACACCATTGAACAGTCATTGTCATCGCCGAAGTCCTCCAAATCAAGTCCACCGGTGGCCCCGGGACAGACTACTGGCGTTTCGTCTTCCCCGCCTTTGTGCTCGGTAGTGCTGGAGGGATGATGGTGATCTTTGCGAGTCAGATCAATTTGGTGCAAATGTGCCCACCGGAGATGGCGGGCGTGGCAGGGGCTTGGGTTTCGGTCCTTGTGAGTCAACCTTCTCATTGTCTCCTGTACGTGAGCTGATATGGTGGTAGTTTCAAGTGGGTGGTGCTTTAACTATGGCAGTCATGTCCGGCCTCGAATCTTCCCACCCGACTTTTTTCATGGAAGCAGGTGGCAAAGTGTACTACTTCATCATCGGATATACCATCCTCCTCGCTGGGATCTATCTGGCGTTCTACAGGACTCCAAAGCCTTTGGGTGAAGAGCATGAGGCGGCCAGGAAGAGGATCATGAATGATGTTGGGAAGATGGGGGTTGGAGGTGTAAACAGTCAGAGGATCAGTGAAGAGAAGGTTTGATGCCTGGCTCGGACGCTCGTGTCCGAATCGCAGATGCTGTACTTCTACATATATAATCACATGCTTGTATGATACTAGTGCTTTGAACTTTGAACGATCACCAGAATGTATACGATCTCCTCTGAGCTTTCATTGCTGTGGTTCATGATCGTACATTTCTCGGTCGGTTGTTGTTCTGAGTCTGATCTTGTTGTCTGCCTCCCTGTAACCTTCGCGAAATGCAATCAAGTCGGTAACAGATGATGAACCCAACGGAACAACACTGGCTGAGTACCTCAGGGGTCCGGGGCCTTCGGTGATTCGGTCTCGCGCCGGAGGACCGAGTTCGGAGTCGCCCGCTTCCGGCCATCCACCTTTGGATTGTTTTGAACTCATTTGCTATGCAATGCATATCTATAATCTGCCAAAGGTTCCCCTAATTCTGAACAGCACGACACAACAAGTCTCTCAGAAGCAGGCTAAGCCGTGGTACATACAGCGCGATACTTCGGGAGGACGATGCCCCCACAACAACAATGCGAAGTTCCTCGTTCCTATCGTTCCTCTCAATGCCCGGGATGATCGAAATGTGTTGGCATCTTGCTTTTCTTTTCTTCTTTCTTTCTGATTAAAATTCTACCAGGGCACCCTCCGACTTTGGGCTGCTCATGTCTGAGTGTGGGACTAAAAGATAGCGACGAAGAACCGGAATTCGATCATCCCCGCCGGCACCGTAAACCCGGATCGGAACATCATGCCCTCCAGCTTGAAAACACCTGAGCTTCGTCAATCACGCTCTTTGGTCTCTCTAAAGAGCTCGCCAGCCTCCCTCTCTCTATCCAACGTCGCAGGAGACAACACAAACAACACTACCCAAGCGAACGAATCGCCAGACACACAGCATCCCCTTGCGCAGCTTTCTCCACTAAAAAAGAGCGTACTCCTATTCATATTCGGTCTGGCAGACTTCCTAGACATCGCAAATGTCTCTGGTGTTGCCGTCGCTGTGGCAGACATTACGACCGACATTTCTTTACATTCAAGCCAAGGCATTTGGGTGAGTCCTTGAAATACTTTTGAGGCGAGCACTGACCATGAATGACGTATTGGCAGATCATAACCTCATATAGCATTGGTTTCTCGGCATTCTTGCTTCTCTCTGGTCGATTGGCGGATCTCTTTCCGGCTGGCATAGTGTTCGAAGTAGGATTCGCGTTGCTGGGGGTCTTGAGTTTGGTCACGTCTTTTGTCACGAGTAATAAGTGAGTCGTTTCATGTGCACGGTCTCTCGCTATTCTATGTTGGAGTTCCGTATCTGATATAAAGTAGATATGGGTTCTTGATTCTCAGAGGACTAGCTGGTATCGCTGGGTCGCTGTGTGAGTCCAAGATAATATGAGTGGCTTGATCCTTGCTAATTTCTTATTCCGGGATCTACAGCTATACCATCGGCATAGTGAGCCAACCGGTACCATATCATCGTCCAGGAGCACAGCTGAACCACGTATACAGTCATCTGGTCATCCATATGTATCCCGAAACGAAGGAGCAAGCTTCCAAACTATCTCTGCTAGGGCTTGCGGCGGGCCTCGGCAATGTTTTTGGCTTGTACGTTTTCTTCTCTCTCGACTTTTCTATCTCTCGGACAAGCTCTGATGAAGGAAACATAGGGTTCTGGCAGGTCTCTGTATGAGAGCCTCCTACAAGTGGTTCTTCCGTCTTATCGCCATCCTCTGCCTTCTCTCTACGGCCGTCGCCATTTGGCTCCTCCCCTTTAGTTTTTCTTCGACCTACTCGAAAGAGAAGAAGGAAGGGAAGGAGAGCATTCCGAGGTGGCGGATGCTGGATGTCCCGGGGGTGGTGTTGATGATGGGGTTCCTCACATGCTTCATCTTGTCGTTGACGCAGGTAAGCATGCGACGTCGTACCATGAAACAACAAGCTGACATATGTAAAGGGGCCAATCTATGGATGGGGAGCGGTAAGCTTCATCGTGCCGTTCGTGATCTGTTGGCCATGCGTAGTTGGCTTCTTCTTCTGGGGTACGTATTGTTGTCCTTCACTTCCTCTCGTCGAGCGCCGCTGACGCACCAGTAGAGGCAAAGATATCCCAGAAGACAGCCATTCTCCCCAACTCGGTCTGGAACATCACAAATTCCATCATCGCCTCTCTCGCCGTGCTCATCCCTATGGGGTTTTGGGGCACGTCTCAGTTGATGTACGCCAACTATTGGCAGACTACCTACGGATGGAGTCCCCGTACGTTTATATATCTTTACGTCTTGCTCGGCCTGGAAGAGGGGAGACATGAGAGAGGCTAGGTGCTGACGATTACAAAAGTACATGTTGCGGTGGCCTGTTTGCCCCAGGGTGTAATGACTCTGATCATAGGCGGGATGGTGCCGATCGTACCAGCGATCATCGAGAAGCCTCGTTGGTCCATCCCAATCGGTTCGATCCGTTCGTCCCATTTCTTTCGTATCTCTCTCTCCTAAATCTGACTGTCTTTTAGTGATCGTAATCGCCGAGGTCCTCCAGCTCAAATCCGAAGGTGGGCATGGTACAGACTACTGGCGTTTCATCTTTCCCGCGTTCGTCCTCGGCAGCGCTGGGGGGATGATTGTCATCTTTGGGAGCCAGATCAATCTGGTGCAGATGTGTCCGCCAGAGATGGGCGGGGTGGCGGCAGCTTGGATATCAGTACTTGTGCGTCCTATCTCTTTCCTTCTCCCGCTACCCAAACCCGTACATATGGAAGCTGATGAAGAATCTGTAGTTCCAAGTCGGCGGAGCTCTCACCCTAGCTGTCATGTCGGGCCTAGAGTCAACCAACCCATCGACATTCATGCAATCCGGCGCGAAAGTGTGCTATTTTATCATCGGCTATACGATCGTACTGGCCGGGATATATGTGGGGTTCTACAAGACGCCGAAGAGCTTGGAGGATGAGCACAAGGAGGCGAGGGAGAGGATTAGGAAACGTGACGGTGACGGTGGTGGTGATGATAGGGAGTCTGGAGTAGTGCCAGATGGGAAGAGGGGTAGGGAAGAGGAGAAAGTTTGAAGTCTTGCTGCATGTCGCCTAGTGGAGTGTACGAGTACTGTATGTATCATAATGTCTGTTCCATCGCTCGCTTAGGGTTTACTAAGTCTCTCACCGACCTCTCAAGCGTCCGAGCCCGAGACTCTGCTCCTTGCCTGCGTATCCCAGCTATACAGCAACGGATCGTCGCAGTCACTGACTCCTGAACTCTAGTCACTGTCCTCTGCCACGTCTTCTGGAACGTTCTCTTGATCAATCACTCCGTATCGTCCCAGATAACCATATATCTTATGGAGGATGGTACGATCCAGCGCCGATTTTGTCTGGCGAAGGAATACATAGGTGCGGTTGAAAGACGATGATGGACCAATCAAGGCTGCTGCGCTGATCACCGCCTCTCTGTGTGGGGCTTACATTCTTGTTGGTAGAGGTCATACTCAAGCTGTGCTCAGTTCATTATGTAGCAAACACAGCAGGTCAAAGCTTCAAGTAGCTGGAAGTAGCTTCTCATAGGGTGAGAGACCAGAAGTATGATCTCGTTGATACTGCGTTGCCATTGCTTTGCACACAAGGATGGTGACGTGAGCGAAAACTTAGCAAGGTTGAGAGAGAGCGAGGGACGAGCCATGGAGGCTGTCGCCCGATTCGTCTGAGCACTCTCCTTTGAATGTCAACCTGTGGGTAACGCAGGGGCCTTTCCGAAACTGGCTACTCTTTTCAGGATACGTACTTTCAGAACAGTATATGATATTTGCTGCTCGGTCTGTGCCCATCAAGGTACCAACCCAAGCAACAAAAGACCAAGTCTCTATCACTGGAGGTCGAGACACAGCCCATACAGTGTGAGACATGGAGCAGTTCCTCTTGCTCTGCGCAGCATCACTCAACATGGAATTGTGCGATGCAAAACTGCAGATGGACGCTGATACTAGGCGGAGGTGCCTGACGTAAGCCAGCGCGTCATCGTCTCCTTTAGTAGTACGTAGCCTCGTTGCCGGGTCGGGTCGCGTCAGATTGGTCCCGTCCCCTTCTTTCTGCAGCCTCTTTTAACAGGGGCCGCCTTCACAGCATTCTTCTCTTCTCCCCCCAACTTTCATTTTCTCCTTTATACCCCTCGCCACCACACAACAACAACACACGCAAACACAATGGACTTTATCAAGAAAATGGCCACTGAGCAGTTCGAGAACGCTAGTAAGTCTGTGCCACGTCGCAGGATCACAAGACGCTGAGGCTCTTGGCGTGCAGTGAACGGCGATAAAAACAACAGCAACCAGAACCAGAACCAGAACCAAGGCAACAACCAGAACCAGGGCTACAACCAGGGCCAGAACCAGAACCAAGGCAACAACCAGAACCAGGGCTACAACCAGGACCAGAACCAAAATCAAAGCTACGGTCAGACCGGCGGTTCTCAATACAACAGCAACAACAATGGCAACAGCGGTAACGGCCCCAACAGTACGTCTTCTTCCCCTTGTTCTCTTTGCAAAGCTGACTTCTTGCGCAGTCTCCAACGATGACGCCGTCCACGCCGCCAACCAGCACAACTCTAACGGTTCCGAAAACTCTAGCCTCTTCTCCACCGCCCTCGGCTACCTCAACAATATGAACCAGGACGACAACGATGTTGACGAGGACAAGGTGCAACAGGACCACCAGCAGGCTTATAACGGAAACACCTCTGGTATGACCTCTAGCTCTTTGGGCGCGTGAGTACTTTTGAGTGTGGTAAAGGGATAAGCTTATAAGGATGTAGTGCTGCTGCTTTGCAGGCTATCAAGTCTTTCACTTCTGGTAACAGCGATGCTGCTTCCGGCTCCAAGGACAACTCTTCTTCCGGTGGCGGTATACAGACCAAGGTGCGCTTCCCTTCCTTCCCTTATGAAGTGAAAGCAAACGCTGACATGCTGTAGATCATTGGCATGGCCATGTCTGAAGCTGCCAAGCTCTTTGACCAGTCCGGCGGCAACGTCTCTGGTGACAAGCAGGACGCTGTCACCTCTGCCAGTCAGGTCATCATGAAGTTGATGTTAAAGAACCAGGTTTCTGGTATGATGGGCGGTAGCAGCTCGGGTGGTCTGGGCCAGTTGGCTGGTTTGGTGAGTCAAGCGTCCCATGCAAGGTGTTGTCAATGAGCTAATAGGCTGGGCAGGCTTCCAAGTTTATGTAAAAGGGGCACTAGCTTGTGCGGGGGAACGAACGTAAAGAAGAAATGAGAAGGGATCACGCAGCATTTCGATACACGACCTTTATGAACACCTTGTGCATATCTCTATAAGACCCACCTGGCGATAATGAAAGCAAAGAATACATTCTCCCAGATCCCAATTGATGATTAACATTCTAGTTCCCAGTTACGCGCCTCAACAGTCCCTTCTTCGCCCTCTTTGCTTCCATCTTTCGCCTGATCTGCTCTTCCATATCCCGGTGGTCCATCTTATCTTGGTTATACCACAAAACGGTATATGTACCGATGAGGGCGGAGGCGATACAAAGGAAGAGGGAGAAGACTGCTTCTTTCGTCCAGCCCTGTTGGAAATTGTCAGCTTGCACCCCAAAAGGAGATGCCAGGGAACGTACGATGACAAGAGGAAGAGGTCCCCAAGGCTGGCCCTTGAAATCCGTCGTCGAGTTGAGCCCAACAACGTTCCCGCTCGTGGGCAGACCCCAGTATTCACAGTGGTCCACGATCGTCTGCGGTACGACGGTGTTTTCTTGGAACTTTTCGGGGGCTTCGATGAAGACTGCTGCGAGGCCGGAGGAGAGATGCCAATCGATCTGCATATATTGTCAGTTTCGGGGAAGCTAGGACAGTAGGGAAGAAAAGGGGAAGAAGGACGTACGTGACAGTGGAAGAACCATGCGCCGGGGTTATCAGCCCTCCACCTCAAAACTACTTTGCCCGTCCCGGGGATCGTCACCGTATCCCTCCTCATCGGGTTACTCTGCCCTTCCGTCACCTCCCCACCATTCGGGTTCTCCTCTGCATCGTCCGAAGTCACGTCGAAAGACTTTTGGACAACCTGGAATTCGTGCCCATGGAAATGGAACGGATGAGGTCCAGAGTCCCAGTTGAACACCGTCAACTGTATATTGGCCATATGCGGGTACGTCAACGCGTGCGTCTGCGCCCCATAGATAGCAGAGTTGAACGAGTCGTTGCCCATAGTCAGAGCTGTAAAGATGGAAGCCGTGGGCGGTTCTTGGAATGTGATATTGTTGAACGAACCCCGGTTGGTGCCGTCGTCGTAAGTGTCAAAGTTGACGTGGAGAGTGTACTCGATATCGGCGGGAGCCATGGCAGAGACGAGAAGGGGGGCGAGCTTGGTGTCGTCCAAGTCGGGGAACTCTTCGGGGTAGGTAACGTCGGAGGCGGGGGAGTTGGAAGGGGAGTAGGAGATTTGAATGGTGTTGTTCATGATGAGCTCGTCCGGGAGGTAGTCGTACCTTTGATATCGTTAGCTGGGTACGAGGATGGGGTGGAAAGGTTGACGTACATTTCCTCGCTTTGCATGACGGTCATGGCGTAGTTGGTATCGCTCTCGGCCTTGGCTTCCACCAAAATTGAGTACCTCTGCGCTACACTGATCGGCAGGGCGTCCACGTAGTAGGGTTCGACCTCGACACCGTCAACTTCGATGATCTGGATATCGTGCTGATCGATAGCCACAAAGAACACTGCTCTCTATCAGCTGATATCTATCAGTAGAAGGAAAGGGGACACACTGGCAAGGGCAGCCATGTTGATCACCCTGATCTTGTACTTCTTTCCGGCCTCGAATGGGATATTGAGATTGTTGTTGGTAGACTCGCCGGAAGCGACAGCAGCGGGGGAAGGATAGTATTCGCCATCCTTCACAAGGTAGACGAGAGCAGAGTCGGGGACAGGTTCGGCGCCGGTGGGATTCTCCCAGGAGAGGAACTCGTTCGTGAGTAGGTCGAGGTGTTGGCGGTGATACCTGCGCTCTTGTCAGCGATTGTCTTGTTACGGAGAGAGTGATTTACCAGTCAGATACGACAAGAGTGTAATCTTCGTCCCAGGTTATGTCGTCCGAACGGCCAGTCCCGTTTTGAGGCTCGATTATCAATGCTAGATCCCAGTGTCAAATCGATAGTGAGTTGAGTGAAAAGGGGACGTACGTGAACGCAGACCATCAATGTACTGTCCAAGATAATGCCCGTGCATCCAGAACGTGCCAGCCTGAAGCAATGTCAGCGCTTCCTCTCTCTTTCCAGTCAAAGTATCATGACTCACCTGTCTGTCCGTCTCAATCACATAGTCCAACGATCTCCCCATAGGTATACTACACTGCGTTATCCCCACGGCACCGTCATAGTAATTCGTTCCGTTGAAGAACATGCCGTGCGTGTGCAGGGCTGTACCGATATTCGGATCTTCGAGGCCGTTGGTGGCGTGAATGACGATGGTGTCGCCTTGGGTTGCTAGGAGTGGAGGTGGCCTGATTTATACAGTCAGGTATGAGTAAAATAGAGGAGACATTGACGTACGGCCAAGAGCCGTTGACACCGATGACTCTTCTTTCTGATAGCTACAGACTCGTTAGATTCGGTCAAATCGTATAGAAAGTACTCACGCCATTGGGGTTGGCGTTGGCATAGCTGATGTTCCACCAGTGTTCGACAGTGGCGGCTTGCACTGTTGTTGCTAGCAATGGAGCCGCAAGGAGTGCTGCTAGGGGAGCCATCTTGGTGGAATAAGAGAGGGCGGCAGTCGGGTCAAATCGAAATGTCGAGGGGCCTCTTTTGAGCTCTATATGTTCTTCTTGCTGGCTCTTTTGTCGTGGGAGTTTATACCAAGTTGATCTCTCGGTAGATCCTCTAAAGCTCTTGTTTATCTGATGGGATTTGGCGGTTTGTCTACGGGAGGCTACGTATGTACACTTTGCCATCTACTTGCCATGATCATGATCACCAACTTCTCCTCGGCGCGGCGCCTCAAGAATCATGACGTGTCAATAAAATGGGCCGATCAAACGGACATCGCCGCACCAGTGAGAAGATGCTCATCAGCTCATACAGGTCGAGTCAGCATGCATGGAAAATGATTTGGGGCGCAGATGCGAAGATTGATTAGGTTTTGACTAGATTTTTCCAATCATTGTGATGCACGATAAGGTGGGCGAGTGGGGAGGAATGATCGGCAAATGTGGACGCAAGGAGTCGATTTCAGAAGCGGGGTTGCCAATGGTCATGTGAGAAGATAATTGCCAAGTCAAGAGAAATGTTAGAAGAAGGACATCTTCTGCTCTTCACCGGAAATCATTGATATGGGTCACAGAGGAGCCATACGATACCATCGCTGAAGCAGAAGACGGTCACTCATCAACTTCATGTCGTCCGCTGCTGCGGAGGTTGCCGACTGGTTCGGAATGCCGGTACGAGATTTGCAATCGATAACGTTAACTCGAGTTTCGCCTGTTTTTTTCAAGTTCAGCCAGCCCCAACTCGGCAATTTCTGCGTGATCGTCATGCATCTCTATAAATTCTCAATTTCCACTCCGCTCAACTACCAGCTATACTGCTTTCGCCCAGGATGGAGGAAAGACAGCACGGGCAGCCCCTCACATGGACCCTCTCCCGGCACAGCACGCAAGCTTCCGACCCGCCATTCTCCATCCGACAACAAAACATCATCCAAAGCACCTCAGCGGCAGCCGACCCCATCATCCCTTCCACTGCCACCTGCGCCGCAGATGAAGGGGCATCATATCAAGACGACTATACATCGAGAGAGAGTAGCCAGGATCGTGAGAGTCTGCCTGACAAGGAGCTACCACCAGGCTGCTCCTGGGGTCCGGAAATAACACCGGAGCTCCTTGACGAATATGGCCTCCCACCCCACCCCTCATCGACTCCCTCCTCTCCCCAACGCATCATATACGTATCCTTTCCACCATCCTCCACCAAGAACCCGTTCTTCTTCAAGTCATGGCGTAAGAAGGCAATCGTTGGCGTAGCGACGGGGTTCACGCTTTTGACGAGTATCAATGTTTCGGCGTATTCAATAGGGGAGGGAAGTATGTGCGAAGATCTGGGGTGTTCGCAGCAGACCGCGGCAGTGGGTCTGGGTATCTATTGTTTTGTGAGTTTACCATGAAATAAGTAGCAATGGAAGCTGATGAACGCGAAGGGCTTTGCAGTAACGCCCATGATTCTCGCTCCTCTCTCTGAAGAATTCGGCAGACGCTGGACATATGTCATTTCCGTCATCATCTTTCTATTATTCCACATTATGCTCGCTGCGTGAGTTCCTTTCTCAGGTCGCTCCGAACGTGACGAAGCTGACGAAATATGCAGGGCCAAGAATATGGGTACAGTGCTCGTCGCGCGGATCATCCAAGGCTGCGCTGGGAGTGTCGGGTCAACGCTCGTAGGAGGGACAATCGCAGATATCTACATGCCTGCAGAGTACGTCCATCCTTCCCTTTCACCATTACGATATTGACGAAAACTCTAGTCGCGGCCTGCCGAGTTCCATCTTTGCCCTGGCAGGTACAGGCGGTAGCGGTCTCGGGCCAGTCATCTTTGCCTGGGTGGAGAGTAATCCGAATTTGAGATGGAGATGGATATGGTGGATACAGTGCAGTACGTCCCTCCTCATTGAGCTTCCCTTCCAGACTCGAGGGCTGACAACATTCCAGTGTTGATAGCAGCCCTCCTTCCATTCATTTTCATGATCCTGCCTGAAACCCGTGAATCCGTCATTCTCCGCCGTCGCGCGCACCATCTTCGCAAAGAAGCAGAAACGTCTGAGAAGGATATTGGAGGGAGGTATACGGCGAGAAGTGAGATTGGGAGAGTGAATTTCTGGGCGGCTATGCGGGTCAGTGCTACGAGACCTATTAGTAAGTGGCTTCAGCGCGTGAGGCTTTCTTGAAGAGCAAATGGCTGATATTGGCTGATTTAGTGTTTTTGTTGTTCGAGCCTGTTGTGGCTTTCTTTGCTCTTTGGGTATCCATCGCTGTACGTTCAAGAATACACCTAAACTTCCAAACATTGCAGCTGACCAATATTTCAGTGGGGTGTCTTGTACTCCCAAATCGGCGGAATAACATACATCTTCACAACCATCCACGGCTTCACCACGAACGAGGTCGGCCTAGTCTATCTCACCATCCTGTACGTTTCCTCTCCTTTCTCCTCCTTTTCTCTCCAGAATGTCATCTCACGACAATGTAGGATCGGTGCTTTCCTCGGCTTTGGCTTCAACTTTCTGCAAGACGCCATCTACCGCCGACGCGTGTCCAAAGTCGGTATGGAAGGCCGACTCTACGGGCCCATGCTCGCTGGTCTTACGTTCGCCGGTGGGTGTATATTCTTTGCGTTTACGGCAGTGAAGGAGGTTCATTGGTTGGTGCCCTGTTTCGCGATCGTCATTGTCATCGCGAGTATCTTGACGCTCTACATCTGCTGTTTCGTCTAGTGAGTCTCCGCTCTCCTGCCCTCTTCGAAACAAGACTGACAAGAGTGCGACGCAGCCTGTCCGAATGTTACGGCTCCTACGCATCGTCCGCCATCGCCGCCCAATCTTTCCTCCGAAACATGTTTGGCGGCGCCTTCGCCATCTTCATCCACAAGCAATACGTCGCCATGACCCCTCGCTGGACGCTCTTCACGTGGGGAATGGTGGGACTGGTGTTGTCGGCGGTGCCGTTTGTGGCGTTTTGGAAGGGGGAGGTGATTAGGAGTCATTCGAAGTATTCGAAGTTGTTGATGAAGGAGGAGAGGGAGAGGATTGAGAGGGAGAAAGAGTATTCGGATGGGTCTGCATGAGGGAGTATTGTTTATGGACATAAGCATTATTAATATCATTGCATAGAATTAACGTATATCTATGCCTGTTTATATAGGACAACGTGTATATAATCAACATTCTGTACCTATTCGGACTGTCTCATGTCGTCAGTGTTGTACGATACACTTCTTGTGCTCATCGTGCTGACATGAATGATCGTTTGAAGAGGGCGCACGGCTGTCTCCTTGATTGCCTTCACTATCTTCCTCTCCTTCATCTCATCGCATGTTCAAAAGGTCTTGTAGGCTCCTGCTGAAGCAGGAATAGGAATATCGATCAACTTGACGTGCACTGTTGCGGAGATGTCCGACGGGCTCGGGATGCCGGGGTGAGATTTGCAAATCGATAACGGTATGGTCGCCATTTCTTCATCAGGCTGGAATCGGCATCTAATGGGCCAGTCAGGCTTATTTATCATTTGCATGACCATACATTGGTTAGCTGTTGGCCATACTGCTTGGGCTCAGGATGGTGGAGCGACTGCAGGGCCTCCCTCTCTTCTCTCGGCACGACGACAGCCACGCCTCCGACTCACCATCTTCCATCGGACAGCAAGGTGACATCCAAAGTAGCTCGTCTGCCGCTGCCGACCCCATCATCCCTTCCACTGCCACGACCGCCACCTGCTTGTCAAGCAGCAAAGAGCTCCATGAAAGCGAACTTTCATCAAAAGAGAGTAACTTGGACAAGCAAGAAGGCCTGCCGACGCCTGACCTACCCCCAGGCTGCTCATGGGGTCCTCCCATTACACCGGAGCTCCTTGACGAGTACGATCTCCCTCCTCATCCCATTTCTACTCCATCCTCCCCTCAACGTATCATATACGTCTCTTTCCCTCAAAATTCGCCCAAGAATCCCTTCTTCTTCAAGCCATGGCGCAAACGGGCGATCGTCGGCGTAGCGACGTGTTTTACGCTCATGACGGCCATGAATGTTGGGGCCTTTTCGATAGGGGAGGAGAGTATGTGTGAAGATTTGGGATGTTCGCAGCAAACTGCGGCGGTGGGTTTAGGGATCTTCTGTTTCGTGAGTCTTCCATCTACCGAAGAGCAAGAAGGGACGCTGACTGGGGACCAGGGGTTCGCCGTGACCCCAATGATTCTCGCTCCTCTTTCTGAGGAGTTTGGCAGACGTTGGACATATGTCATATCCGTCATTATCTTTCTTTTGTTCGAGATCATGCTAGCTGCGTGAGCACCATCTCCTTCCTCCACTTTCAGCTACGAGACTGATGACAACGATAGGGCCAAGAACACGGCAACCATGCTCGTCGCTCGGATCGTACAAGGTTGTGCTGGAAGCGTTGGAGCAACACTTGTAGGGGGCACTATTGCGGACATATATATGCCTGCAGAGTGAGTACTTTCGCTACCTCACATATCTCGAAAAGTGACTCATGATTGGCATACTAGTCGCGGCTTCCCGAGCTCCATCTTTGCAATGGCAGGGACTGGCGGAAGCGGCCTTGGTCCAGCCGTCTACGCGTGGGTGGAGAGTAATCCGAACTTGAGGTGGAGATGGATATGGTGGATACAGTGCAGTACGTCCCTCGTCCCGTGTTCCTCTCTCTGTCACCCGTCGACTCGAGCCTAACAGCAGTTCAAGTGTTGATAGTAGTCCTCATCCCACTCATTTGCCTCATTCTGCCCGAAACGCGTGAATCCGTCATTCTACGCCGCCGGGCGCATAATCTTCGCAAAGAACTCGAGAAGTCAGGCATAGATGTTGGAGGACGGTTTACAGCGAGGAGCGAAATCAAGAGAGTGAAGTTCTGGAAGGCTATGAGTGTCAGTGCTACGAGGCCTATCAGTGAGTGGTGTATCTCTTCTCGTGGAGAAAGGCTGTTGATGAATGATACAGTGTTTCTCTTGGTTGAACCGGTGGTGGCTTTCTTCAGTCTTTGGGTATCTGTCGCCGTACGTTCCAGCCCCCACCTCTTTATCGCTGCGATCTGACGAGTATACTCAGTGGGGTGTCTTATTCTCTCAAGTCGGCGGAATATCGTACATCTTCAAAACCAATCACAACTTGACCACCAACGAAGTTGGATTAGTCTATCTCAGCATCTTGTACGTCTCTCCCCCGGCCTCCTCTCCTCCTCTTAAACGGCACCTCACGCTCTTGCAGTATTGGCGCGTTCGTCGGCTTTCTGCTCAACTTTATCCAAGACGCTATCTACCGCCGACGAGTCTCCAAAGATGGTATGGAGGCCCGGCTCTATGGTCCCATGGTTGCCGGCTTGACGTTCGCCGTCGGTTGCTTCTTTTTCGCGTTCACTGCGGTGAAAGAAGTTCATTGGTTGGCGCCGTGCTTTGCCATCGTTATTGTCATTGCGAGTCTTTTGACGCTCTACATTTGTTGTGTCGTTTAGTAAGCAAACTTATTCTTATCCCGCATCCCTATCAACCTCGTGTGAGTTGCTGACGAACACAAAATAGCCTGTCGGAATGTTATGGCTCTTACGCTTCTTCCGCCGTCGCCGCTCAATCCTTCCTTCGCAACATGTTCGGCGGCGCCTTCGTTCTTTTCATCCGGAAACAATACGTCGCCATGACCCCTCGCTGGACGATCTTCACCTGGGGTATGGTAGGACTTGTGCTGTCGGTGGTACCGTTTATCGCGTTCTGGAAAGGAGATGTGATACGGAGTCATTCGAAGTATAGCAAGCTGTTAATGAAAGAGGAGAGGGAGAGGATCGAGAGGGAGAAGGAGGTTCTGGATGGCTTTGGGTGAATAGAAACGCTTGTGATGCGTGGGCGACGGGCATCGCTGAATGAAGTACGTTATCGAACACGTCAGTATAAGCTGTCGTCATCTATCAGCCGATGCGCTAGGCTGCAGCTAGGGCATCCAGTTAGCAACAGGATGCGAGAGGGGTCGTCGTGAGGCCCATACGATCGCTCACTGGGAATCCTTTCACAGTATGTGTCATGTGAGGACTCGCGGCACACTGTTATATCGTGGGAACAGCGTTCAAGAAGACGACTGTCGCAATCCTTTATCAGTATGTTGAGACCCATCAACAGCTCCGCTTCATCGCTCTCAGGCTATCGACAGGGTTGTACTCGTACTGTGTACATAGAAGAACTGTAGTAGAACCGTAGTGAATGTACTCCCTACCTTCTTCTCTTTGCAAGTATCAAGATAATCCTCTTGTCGTCATCGGGATACCTGTATCGCAATGAGCAACATCGAAGATTACGAGACCGACGTGATCTTCGAGGCTGTCCATTACATCGGCGTAGAAACGGGCTCACACCTTTGATGCGAGTCATTCGTATTACGGGCAGAAAACTCCGCTTATCCAATTTCTACTCACTGCTGTCGAAGTCCCATCAAACGCAATGTGCATACAAAATAGCAATCATATACGGGATGCTTGGTTCTCACTTTCAACCTCCCATTCCCACATCATCAATACAAGCGATTACCATTACCTATTTATAAACTCTTATCGTTATGGGCAATTAGCAGAACGCAACTGTTACCTTGGGTTCAATCGCTTATATCAACGATGAGGGGCCCTGTTATCGCACTGTGCAGTCCCAGAGTGTATGTACGCTTCAAATCTGTGGCTTCACTGACGTTGATACCGGGTTTGCGGCTTCATTGCACCAATTGATCTCTGCAGTCTGTAGGAGAAGAACAGCTCTCGTATTTGGAACCGATATCATTACCACCTCTCAAATGGCGCCACAGTGATGGAAGTCGCATCAAAATGTCAGAGAGGAGTGAGATCGATCGAGCAAGACTAAGACCATCAGTAAGTAACTTCGAGTGGAAAGCTGAATTCTGATATAGTCCGTTTTAATTGTTGAAGACAACGCGGCGAAGCGCAGGTCCAGATTGAAGCAAAGTCAAGAATCTGAGAGTAATGACACCGGTCAACAGCCAGTCACAGAGCGTGATGGTGGGGAGGGACAAGGGGCAGTCAAAGCCGGCGAAGCCGCTCCATCCCATGGCGATCTGACCGCTGAACAACAAGAGTCCTCTACCGTTATGATGGCGCCCCACCAGCTTGAATATTACTATCATGGTACTATCGCTGGGCAATCCCGTTCGCAGTATGACGGTGTGATTGCTTCTCATCAGCCGTCTTCGTCTACCGGTTACAATGATGATGGTGGTCAGAGTGAGACTCAGACTGCCACGGATGATTACAGTCAGCTATGGGATTACCTGAGCTTTCACTAGCAAAATATGCCTAGATGATAGCCTCGCATGTATATAATTAACGAACAGACCGTGATGAGGTGCTCATGCTGGATTTTCAATCTGTCGGATCACAGTCATCATGCATCAGCTCGTTTGTAGTATTTGAGTCCAGTCGTTGATGTAAGATAGAGTTATACTACAGAGATGAATGGTTCGCGCATGGCGTCGATCGAGTCGAAGAGGTACAAGTACTCGAGGCTTCTCAGAAGTCGCCTGACATCATAAGAAGAAGGAGAGCAGATGACGGACGACTTTACAGTCGTGATGATCAGTGGGCTTGAGATATATACTAGCGGAGCAGGAGTATCACTCAAACCCTTACCCACCGCTGCGGATAGCCGACAAGCTCGGCATGCCCGGTGCGAAATCTGTAGCCGACGGATAACTCCCAGATAACGTTACATCGCCTTTTTGGCAGTTGCTGTTGTGACTTCGCTCCGAAATTCGCTTATTATTCTATTCAGCCGCTTAGACTTGCCAACTCTTGTGCTTGGTCGTGCATCTATATATGTTCTTCATGTCTAAGGTAATAACAGCTGCGAGCTACACAACCTGGTTTGAGGATGCAAGAAAGACAGCTAAACCCACTTGTGGTCCATCTCTCGCCACAAGAGCGCTCGCGCCTCCGACCGACCTTCCTCCGTCTGTCAACAAAACATTACTCAAAACAAATCAGCGGGGGCTGATCCTATAATCCCTGCTACCACAACTTGTCCCTTGCAGGGGAAAGAGCTCTATGAGGGCGATGTCTCATCTACGTAGAGACACTTGCCGGGCCTGTCAATGCCCGCCTCAAAATGCCCCTGTGCCGATCTCAATCCTTGATGTAGCCCCCCGTAGGCGTAATGCCCATGTCGCTGGCATATCATACATCTTCAAAGCCATCCACGGCTTCTCCACCAACGAAGTCAGTCTAGCCTATCTTACCGTCGTGTACTTCTATCTCTTCCCCTCTCCCCTCTTCTCTCTTTCCTCAAGTCGCTTGGAAACCTCATCTCACGCACTCGCACGAAGTATTGGCTCAATCATCGGCTTTCTCCTCAACTTTCCCCAAGGACGCCATCTACCGCCGGCAAGTATCCAAAGTCGGTATCGAAGCCCGACTCTACGGGCCCATGGTCGCCGGTCTAATTTTCGGGGGCGGGTGTATATTCTTTGCGTTCACGGCGGTGGAGGAGCTTTATTGGTTGGTACCCTGTTTTGCTATCGTCATTGTTATTGCGAGTACTTTGACGCTTTACATTTGTTGTTTTGTCTAGTACGTGCTCTTTCTTTGTCTGATCTTGCGAGTCTCCAGAGGGAGGAGAAGGCTGACAAGACGGAACAGCCTGTCAGAGTGCTACTGCTCCTACGCTTCATCAGCCATCGCCGCCCAATCTTCCCTCCGCAACATGTTTGGCGGCGCCTTCTCCATCTTTATCCATCAACAATTCGTCAACATCACCCCTCGCTGGACGCTCTTCCTTGGGGCATGGTGGGTTTCGTGTTGCCGGCAGTGCCGTTTGTGGCGTTTTGGAAAGGGGAGGTGATAAGGAGCCATTCAAAGTATTCGAAGGTGTTGATGAGAGAGGAAAGGGAGAGGATTGAGAGGGAGAAGGAGGTTTCGGAAGGATCTGGGTGACAGAGTCAGTTGCAGGATGTGTGATAGCCGCTGTTAGGTCTGATGTCTTATATGATAATGAGCATGGATATGTCGTGGTCCTAGCGTAGATGATGGGCAGTCTGCTGTTTTTTATGTGTTGATTGAGGCGGCCACCGTCGGAAGGATTGTAAGGGTGATGGTAGGTGGCGTAACCTATGGGCGGTTACGTGGTGGATCCAACTATGGGTGTTGGATATCGACCTGGGACAGGCGAGGTAGGTGAGGATGGATAAAGGTGATGAGGAATATACGGAAATACATCTATGAGGAAAAGGATATGAGACGCGGCAGGATGTATGTACGGGGAGCCTCCTCTCGCCTCCGCGCCTAACTCGTCCCTGAGAACATAGCGGCAACCCATAATACCAGACTCTGCGTTCCAACGTACACGTCACTACATCTCCTCCTACTGACCAGTCTGTACCAATCCCTTACAAGGATCGACAGCCTCGTCGACAGCGCGCCTTTTGCAGCTCCTACATAGGCGCAGAACTGCCCTATGCTTAGCTGGAGGTGACTAGCCCTTCTGAATTGGCATAATAGATTGTGTAGTGGACTGTGGACAGAAGATAACGTCTTGCTCGCTATCTGTAGAAGGGGCGGAGGTGACCGCCGACGGAATGGTGGACTCTATAAGTGTATACTTTTCTCTCCACGAAAACCACAAATACTCGGCAGATCACAACTGCCCCATAACTCCAGTCCCTACACCTCTCCCGGAACAGCAAAGCTCACTCGTCCTCGCCTGCAAGACCACCAGCAGTCTCAGCTATGCCCGCCCCCTTGTTCCATCGTCCTTACGATAGACTTTCTGTGCCATCCCCCTTTTTGCCGTCGTGCTAGTAGGCCACCCTAGACGTGTCCTCGCGATAGTATCACTTGAAATCCCACAAGTGAATCAGCCCGTATCAGGCATACGACACAACGATTGCCATGTCGTCCTCGGCACCAGATTGTGGCTTGGAGAAAGGCGCATTTGCTCCCAATCAGCACCATGTTTCGCCGGATAGGCCCGAGACCCCAGAGTCCATCGCTGTACCAAGGCCCATCCAGCAAGACCTATCCACCTCCAGCTCACCTTCCATCTCCGAAGAAACCGCCCCCCAGACCACCGAAGAACCCAACCCACCCCCCTACTCTGCCTTCAGCCAATCCACCAAATACCTCATCGTCGGCATCGGCGCCATAGCAGCCATTTTCTCCCCCATCTCCTCCAACATATTCGTCCCCGCCATCCCCACCCTCGCCTCCCAATTCCACCGCTCCGAATCCGACATCTCCCAAGCACTCACCATCTACCTCGTCTTCCAAGCCACCACCCCTTCCCTATTCGGCGCCATGTCGGATTCGTTCGGGAGGCGGCCTTTGTACATCTTGATCCTGGTGATTTACTTTGCGGCGAATATTGGATTGGCGCTGATACCGACGAGTGGGTATGCGGCGCTGCTTGTGCTGAGGGCGGTGCAGTCGACGGGGGGGAGCGCGGTGGTAGCTATAGGGTATGGGTGTGTGGCGGATGTAGCCGAGCCGAGGGAGAGGGGTACGTTTGCTGCCATCTTTCAGACTGGCGCTCTCCTGGGACCTACTCTGGGGCCGTAAGTGCACCCCGCAGACTGTCTGATGTATACTGACGCAGTGTAGACTGCTCGGTGGAATATTGACACAAACGTTGGGGTGGAGGAGTATATTCTGGTTTTTGGTCATTCTTACGGGCGTCATCCTGGTACCTCTTATATTGTACGCCCCGTCTCCTCTCCAACACCAATCTCGGGAGCTTATGACGCACCTAGCCTTCTACCAGAGACGCTCAGATCCCTAGTGGGCGACGGCTCGATCCCACCCCCACCATTAAACAGCACCCCCATCCAGGTTTATCAAAGCAACAAAACATCAAAAGCCCGCGCCGCTGCTGGTCTCGACACTGAAAAAGTCGAGCGACCACCTCGTAAACCTGCAAGTTCACCCTCCTCCCTTCCACTCATATGCCCACACTAACCTTGTCATGCAGTATCAACCCCTGTCTTCATTAATGCTCTTGCTCATCCCCGAGATCATCTTGGTCTTCTTCTGGAGCTCTCTCATCTATATGGAATATTACGCCAGTATTGCGCTGTACTCTACGGCTTTGAAAGACCAGTATGGGTTTTCAGAGATCAAGATCGGTCTCTGCTACCTGTACGTCCTCTCCCCTTCCCCTCCTCTTCCCCCGTTTCATCATGTTGACTGTTTTCACAGACCATGCGGGTTCGGCACGATCCTCTCCACCATCCTCAACGGCAAACAACTCGACTACTACTTCCGCCGCGAAGAACGTCGCGTCGGGGGCGACTACAGCTCCCACCCCCACACCTTCAACACCGAACGCTGCAGGCTTTACTGTTTTATACCGTATACGGTGGTGGGGCTGGTGGCGATGACGGCGCAGGGGTGGTGTTTGGAGGCGGGGGCGCCGTTGGGGGGGGTGCTTGTTGTGAATTTTTTTGTGGGGCTTGGGATGGGGGTTGTTACGACTTGTGAGTCATTCTTTTCCTTTCTTCCCCTTGGAGGTTGTACATAGATACGGGGAAGGGGCTGATGGGAATTAGCTACGATGTACGCACAAGATATCTGCCCAAACAAGGGAGGTGCCATCTCCGCCTCTGTACGTCCACACTCTCTAACCCTCCTCCATATCGTTGCTCATCCCGCTAATGATGTGATAGTTCAACCTCGTCCGATGCGCCTTCGCAGCCATCGGCACAGCTACAATGTACGTACGCCCCATCTCCCCTCTTCCCTCTCTTCCTCTCCCCACCCTCCCACGTACCCTCAGTATTCCCCACTGACGAAATCCCGCAGTCAAATGATGTACGAAACTCTCAACGCGGGATGGACATTCGTCCTCCTCTCAGGGCTTGTCGTCGTATTCATGCCCTTTCCTATATCCGTCGTACGATATGGGAGGAGGTGGAGGGCAGCGAGGGAGAGGAAGGAGGAGGGGAAGAAGCAGAGGGTGGAAGAGAGGGAGAAGGGGAAAGAGAAAGAGGATGGACGTTGAAAGGCGCTTGTAGCATAGTATACGCAAGACGGACAGTATCAAGGACAATTCAAATGTTATATAGTCATAAAATCAGAAAGAAAGAAAGATTGAAGTAGGTTTCGAAAGGAAGAATAATATGATCAAAGTAACGAGATGAATGATAAATCTGTTTAGCAGAAACAGTGGAGACTATGAGGATAGTGTATTCGTGTGGTGGTCATCCGCTTCCTGAGATGATTGCCTTTCTCCTCGACATTGTCACCAATTATCATCCTTCCTACTGACTCTTATCTAAACCTCTCCGATAAGGCTATCACCCTCCAGGGGCCCGACGTTGCTCAGGTAGATCACAGCAGTACTCGGCCGGTCGGCCAACATGGCAAAACACCAAGCGGACATTGCCGCCCGAGCCCGACGCGTCGCACATCTTTGTTCACCAGTTGTTCACCCTCCTCTCCTATTCCTCTCCAGCGTTCTTCCTCCCGCATCCAAAACACCCCCGTCGCTCGTCATGGTACGCCCCCTTCCTCCTCCATGCGTCTCGATACTGACGAATGGATCTACAGGCGCAATCAGACAAACTCCTCGGCGGAGCGATGCTCCTCGTAGCAGCATTCGTCTTTGTGTACTATACCACCTGGGCTCTCTTTACCGTACGCCTCTTCCCCTCTTCCCCTCTTCCCCTCTTCCCCTCTTCCCCTCTTCCCCTCTTCCTTCCCTTCTTCTCTCCACTTAGGACCCAAGCTAACAGAAACAAAAAAAAAAAAAGCCCTTCCTCCCCTCCGACTCACCCCTCCAATCCCTCTTCCCCGCCCGCGAATGGGCTATCCGCCTACCCCTCTTCGTCTTGCTGACGGGTATATCGGTGATAGGCCTGTTCTTTGGGAAAGTGCTGCTGGGGGAGGCTAGGAAGAAGAAGCAGAAGGCTGGGAAGAAGGTGTAGACTTGATTGAGGGGAGATGAGGAAAGAGGGAGAGAGAAGGAGGGAGCGAGAGAGAGAGAGAGATGTAAGAGTAGAAGAAGGAAGGATGGAAGGATGGAATGTATACAAGCTGTGCTTGGCTGAATCATATACATGGCGGGTGGTTGGGCTGCACACGGTGCATGTCGAAGCGATACATCAGCGAGATTACGGCCCAAAGCAAAAACGCCCCGGAGAGAAACTTGGCGAAACCCACAACAAGAGACGACTCTTCCACTGCGCTCCCTGCATCTCTGTCCACCGGCCGGGCAACCCGATTACCCAACAGACGCCTAGACACAAACACACTAATGGATTCGTTGGTAATGCGATTCATCAATATATTCATCATAAGAACTCGTCCCGAGCCCCGCAAAGACACAAGCTAGATCATATAAACCGAACTCTTTGGTTAACTATAACATGCTCTTCCCTCTTCTCCCTCTTCTACTCTCGAGCACCAAAAACCCCGCCTAGCCCTTCTTTCTTTTGAAACAGAAAGGAATGCAAAAGAAGCGCCAAAATACGAGAAGGCAAGGAAGAAAAAAAAGAGAGACTACGCTACTGGAAAGTGAAGAGCGTGGTGCGGTGTATGACTACAAAAAAAGGAGACCTACGCTTACGGGGACGAGGACCAGAAAAAAAAAGGACGGGGAGGGGGAGGGGGAACAAACATGCGTGTTTTGTTGGATGAAATGGGGTATGCTGGGGTACTTGGGGTGCTTGGGGGTGAGGTTGTTGGGGGTTACAAGGGAGTTGATGTGACAGGGTGGGGTATGCAGGGGGGTAACGGTGGGGTTTGTGGAAGGGGACAGGGATCGGGGATGGGAATGGGGATGATGGGTGGTGGAAAGTATGCAATAGTCGATAGAGCGGGTATGGTGGAGGGGGTATACAAGTGTCGTTAAAACAGACAACAATGACCATCAACTGACGGTCACAATTGCTGTCCAGAAAGGTGGAAGAAGAGTGAAGAGCAAGCTCTCACAAACTACTCCTCTCACTCCCACTCCCACTCCCACTCCCACTCCTCTCCCTCTCCTCCCTAATCAACACCTCCAACTCTCTCCCCTGTATATCGCTCTCCCCAGTCGTCGACTCTGGCCACAGGTTGACGGCCCAGGTACGGACGTAGACGGAGGCTTTCATGTGTTTCTTGCTCGCGTACTGCGATTTTTTGTCAGCTGAAAGAGGACAGGGAGGGAGAGGAGAGGGACTGACCTTTTTGTAAAAAGTGGTAGACTCGCTGAACTCTGGGTCGAGGATATAGTTCAGCATAGCCTGCGCACAAGGAAGGATCTCTTGCTCCGAATATGTCGAGTAATGCACAAGGTTCGGTCCCTACACCTCCCATCAGCTTCCACTCCCCTTCAAAAAGCAAAAAAGGGCGAAAAGAAGACTCACCCAAGTACCCCTCTCCAAACAAAGTCTCCCGAGCCACATACTAGCAGCCGCCAACATGCTCGGCTCATACTCCAACATTGCCTCGTCGACGCAACTGATCTCGACGAGATACTTGGCGACGGTCCTCGTCTGAATATCATACCCATCCGCTTTCGAGATCCTTCTAATAAAGTTCAAAGGGTTGGGGTACGACAAGTCAAAAGACAAGGTGGACAGCATATACCTCTCCGCCTTCAACAACTCTTCCAACGTATACCCCCCATCCGACATTTTCAAAAAGTGTTCCACCCCCGGGCAACACACCTCTTCATACTTGCTCGCGATAAAGAGGGCGGTCAAGCCGACAAGCTGGAATTTGACGAGCGAGATGACGCGTTTGGAGAGGAAGCGGTCGACGAGGTTGGTCGCGATAAAGAGGGTTTCGGGCAAGAGACGGAATTTGGAGTGGACCTCGATGATCCAGTCCATGAGGATTTGGCGCATTTTCCATTCGAGCTCTGCTTGATTGTCCATATAGTCGGAGCGGGGCATGGTTTGAGGCTACGAGATGTTAGCGGGGTGCGGAGGGAGGGGAGGGGGACGTACTTGGATGTCCATCATGTATTGGAAAGCCTCGACGACATACTCGCTGACCATCGTGGGATCACCCTCGTCCTCCGCATCGAGGTCCATCCACCCATGATCCTTCGGCTTGGCCTTTGGCGACCTCAACCCCACCGCATTCTTGCTCCCACTCGACAACAACACCTCTTTTCCCTCAACCTTTGGCCCCTCATCCTCCGCCTCATACCGCTCCTCGTCCACCTCTTGCAAAACAGGGGACGACGTCTTTCTCCGCTTTGCCCGCGGCTCTTCATCCTCCACTATCGGCTTCTGCTCGACCTTGACGATAGTCCTCGTGCGCGCGTCTTGGAGGGGCTCGGCACCAGTAGAGCGCGCACGGCCGGTGATCTTGCTGCTGACGACAGGCGCCTTGCGTTTACCCGTCACGCGGTCGCGATCGCCTGCTACGGCCGGCTGGGCACTCGCAGCGCGCGTCGGGCGCTGGACTTGGAGAGTCGTAGCGAGCGGCTTCCTATCCTCCCTCACACCCTTCTTCCCATCCTTCCCTACCCCCACATCCTTCTTCTCCACCGCACCCTTTCCGTTCCGGACCTCGCCCAGCATACGCCTCTCGGCAGGAGCAGGCTTGGCATTCTCAGCCTCCTTGCCTTGGGTGGAGGCGGTAGCGGTGGAGCGGGTACGTTTGATGACGGGGATGGAGGTGGTGGGTTTGACAGCGTGCGAGGTGGTGGTAGAGGAGATGGCAGCTTTGGTGCGTGTACGGGTGGTGGGGGCGGTGGGGACGGGGGCGTTCTCGTCGGCGAGACGGGGGGCGCGTCGGGTCTGTCAGATGGGAGAATCAGCAGGATGTTTGGATAGTAAGTGAGCGAGACGCGACAACATCACGTCTGACGCGGTCCGTGCGCGTATGCATCGTCCCCCTTGCCCCATCCCCCCTGCCCGACTACTTGGCTATGCGCCATGGTGGACAAGCATGACGGCGCGCAAAAATAAAAGTGGTCCCCGACCCAAGACATGACACCGGCGCGCGTCCCAAATTTCGTCATGTTCCAACACGCTCAACCACCAAGCAGCCAACCATACGCCGGCATCGCATTCGCGTCCGATCGCCCGAAGCACCCCCTTCTTCTTACACATTGCATCACGTCTCGCACAAACAGGGGGAGAGGAGGGGGACTCACGGGGATACCGCTGGGCATTGTGGAGTGGGGTATGGGGGGCTAGGGCTCCACCGTGTTACCGTGTCGTGTCGTGTTGTTGGATGTGTCGCCTGGGGGAGAGGAAGGGCGGGAGGGCGTCGGCGGGGAGGAGGACGGCGGCGGGGTGGGTATACTCCCCTGTGCAATTCTGCGTGTACGAGAAGAACCCTGCACGAATAATCCCAATGAATGAGTGGACAGGGTCACCCAACAAGGCACAGTCACGTGACACCATCTCCATTCTCGGCGTTACAACAAATCGCTTGTTAACTATCCGTGTGGCGTCAAATTAACTGCTTATAGAGGCGCGTCTGCACGCATCGTCGCCATCTTTTCAGGCGTTTCTGAAGCATGGGGTGTACTAGTAGCTCGTGAATGACTTGGTTTTGTTGTTTGTATCCGTTGTTCTTATCTCTATGGATGCAGACATGCAGTGAACCATGTCCCAGCAAGCGGCAACGCCGCTCGTCCGCCCCACCCCGCGCGGCGGGTACTGTCCAAAGTATCCCACAGAAGAAAGAGAAAGAGGACCAGCCCCCCGAGATTGATAGCCTCCCTGAACAAGAAGGGGGGACGGAAGGGAAGGAGGGGAGGGAGGTTTTGAGGAGTGTTTGTGCAAAGTGTGGGTCTTGTGGTATGTCCCCTTCCCTTCCCTTCCTTCCTTCCCCTTCTCCCCGGCAAGGCAAGTTTAGAAAAAAAGAAAGCTGATTTGGAGATAGTACGTACTCAGAAGGTATGAGCTGATGAAGGCGGGATAGTATGAAGCGACGGTGGTGGAAGGGATAGACCTGGCGTTGGTGGGGGCGATGGTGATTTGCTTGGCATCTGCAAAGACGGCGGAAGAGATTGGGATGATTACTTTACTATGTAGAGGTTCGAGCCCTTTTACCATAGCTTTGGAGGATTATGATTCCATATCTGGGGGTAGCAGAGAAATGTAAGGGGAGGCGTTGTATATATGAATATGTATCGTATAGGACAGCCTGCAAGCGGAGAGCGGACCGATCACGCAGGGTGGATGACGTATACGGAACCAAACAATACCGGGAACTGTCCAGCCCGACCGCCCGACGGGCAATAAAGTACGATTACCCGAGTGTGCGTGCACCTTCCTCGGTCTACTCCACTCCGCTCCTTTTCCCCCATATATATCCTTCCCTCGCCATCTACGTCCCCCCCCCATTCCTGCAACAAAAAGAAGAAAGAGAGATTAGGATGAGCACAAACGGCCAAGACCAACAACAACCCCAAGCCCCAGTGACGACGTTCCAGCCTCACCACCCGCCCCTGGGGCTCTATGAAGCGTATATAGCAAAGCGGGAGATCAAGTTGACTGTGCAAGGCAAGATCGCTAGTTCCAGGGTACGCCCCTTCCTCTTCTTTGGTGTCGTGGAGGAAAAGCTGATGGAATCGGGTGGGGGGTGTTTAGGGCGATTTCGCGGTTGTGGATGATGAAGGCCGGGTGGTATTCGTATCGCACGATGATCCTGATCCTGTTGTCAAAGGCGCCAAGCGTATGTCTACGTCTCCCCCCTCCCTCTCACAAAACATTTGCCCCCCCCCCCCCCCCTTGTACTCGCACCCAAGAGCTGATGGGGATACGTAGACATTGCGGATATGAACGGCCAGCCGCTGTTGACCATCGCAAAAGACAAGTCGTTGCTCCACAAACGATATATCGTGACGAATGCGAAGGGGGAGGAGATTATCAAGGTGGGGCATAATCACAAGTCTGGTATGTCCCCTTCCCTTCCCTCCCCCCTCCTCCCCCCTCCTCTCTCCTTCTTCTCCCCTTCTTTTCATGAGCACTGAGCACTGAGCACTGAGACTGACCCCGGACTAGTTAAAACAAGCATAGACGCCCACTTCACAAACACCTCCGACAGCGTGGCGCACGAGCTCAAAGTCAAAGGGAACTGGACGAGCAAGGCGTTTGATATAGCGCTGGATAGTGGGGCGGCGGTGGCGAGGGTTGATCGGGGTGTTATGCAGAGTTGGGGGCAGCATGTGAGTTCTTTCTCTCTCTCTCTCTCTCTCTCTCTCTCTGTCTTTCGTTCTCCTTCCCTTTGGCCCTCTTCCTCCTCGTTCTATCCTGCCTCATGTCGGTCTGTCTTGTGGAAATGGAAGTCCTGAGGAGGGGGGCAAACTGGGCTCAGGGTCGATGGGTGGTGCATGAACAGAGGCTGACAGACGTGAATAGTACTCGGTGACGATCGCCGAAGGCGTCGATATCGCGCTGGTGACCGCCATCGTCATCTGCCTCGCATCGTCCTTTGTGGAGGAAGAGGTCGCTGTCACGGAGGCATGATCACGCTGAAAATATGTAGGAGAGTGTTTATGAATAGGACAGGGAGAGGGGATGGTTTGTGAATAGGGAGATGGGGAAAGTGGGGAGTGAGGGTGTACGATACTTAGGTGGTCGCAGTAGTAGTGTCGGAGAAGCAGGCGGGAAAAAATATGTATATTGAAAGGTTTTCATTGGACTGGGAGTCTTCAAAGCTCACCCTCACATCCTCTGTCCTTGAGCTCTATCATACAAAAAAGACACAGTCGGTAATAAAGCACCCCTGGGGCAATTCGGCGTTCCGAAAAGGCAAATGCCCGGGCCCACGACACCCGAAAGAGTGTTCGCACCGCCTCGTTCCCACGGTATTCCTCTCCTTCATCCATTCTTTCTTCTTATACCCACTTGCCACCACAGATAATCATCGTCACACTATAGTACTCCTCTCTGGTATCACGTCAGAACATCGACATTACACCTTGCAAGACACGCGACGACCAAATATTACAGCAACAATCCAAGTCATGGACTCTTCTTCGAGTTTACAGAAAGTACACCCTCTAGGCGTCTTTCCAGAACAGGTCACTACACGAGAGACTACTCTGATCATCTTGGGAAGTCTTGGGTGGAACTGCGTGAGTGACTAACCGCTTTTTTTGACCTTTGGGTCGGAGGGAGGAGGGGTGGCAGAGGCTGATCCGACGAGCGCAGGCAAATTTTACCGTCCAAGATGAACAAGGAAGGGAGGTGATGAAGGGACATCCGGGAGGGATCAAGTCTAGCAGTATATCCTCCATTCACATAGCGCCTCTCTGTCTTCCAGGCTGACTGATCTCTGTTTGTGTGATAGTTGTAGTGACGGGCGAGGACGGTAAAGTGGTGTATGAGATCCATCGGCGATTGGGATTCTCGAAAAAGATATGTACAGTCTCGAGTGCTGGGAGGGAGATTATGGAGGTGGTGCAAAAGAACATGTCTTGTGAGTACTCTTCTCTCTCTCTAAATGCTCATTGCTGATCAAACGGGCAGTCAAAACGCGAATGACGGCAACATTTACCGACGCTATCGCAGGGGACAGTCGGACGCTGTCGTTATTGGGAGATTGGAAAGCCAAGAATTTTGGGGTAAAGACGGAGGATGGAGATGAAGTGGCGTGCGTCAAGAGGAGTTATAGGAAGCATTGGGGCTATCATGTACGTCTCTTTTTCTCCTTCTCCTCTGATGGGCCTCGCGTGGATACTGACTCGCTGCAGTACGCGCTGACAGTGGCGGAAGGTGTCGACCTGGTTTTGATAAGTGCGCTGGCCGTTTCTCTTGTTGTTTCGTCGATGGAGGATGAACAGGCTGTGGTAGTGGCGTAGGAAGATTAATCTCGAAGTGACACGCCCACACATCGTGCCCAGCAGCCAAGCCCCATTCAATCATCACTGTATTCTTTATCGGGTATATATAATGTACGTACCACATCATATTCAGCAGTTTTTACTTTGAGAGACGTATGCACTCCGACACCTTGACAGTGGCCGAAATCAACTGGCGCGGCGTTGACCGCTGACGGATGATCAGTGTTTGTTTGGGTCTTGCCTGGATCTTGCCCATTTCTCGAGGATGGTATGCACTTCTCATAAGAATACATACATCACCGCCATGGGGTATGGGAGCGTCTGTAGCCGTCAACAAACGTGGTTTGAGCACGGGGGAGAGACGGGTGAGGCCGGGCGGGTTGCGGCGAGTGAGAGACCGAAGTCCACCGAAAACGTCTTTTACTGACACTCCACTCTAGATTCCTGCCACCTCACTTTCCATCTCTTCACCTTCTGCTCAGTCATATCCTCCATTCGCCATACCGCTTTCCACACCTCTATTCGCCCCGTGGACGGGCATAGCACTCTCACGCCGCCTGTAACACCATGGAAGAAGCCTCCTCCCTCGTCGACGTGTCCGACACTGGTACCCTCACAGTCACCATACCATTTCACTTTTATCAAACGTTGGTCGACAGCCTCAAAGTTGCAGCTGCCAGGCTCAGGCATCATACGACGATAGATGAACGGGCCAAGGACCAGATGGTGCTTCATTTGAAGAAGGCGCATGAACTGCACGTTGTGAGTCGCTTCTCTCCTGCTCTCCTCAATGGTTTGGGTGCTGATAGCAGTAGGCACAGACACTTCTCTCTGGTCGGCTGTTACAAGATATAGCCCCTTCGCTCTTCCTGACTCGACAGCACGTTCTTGAGTGGGAGGCTGCCAACCCTGGAGACGTCTTTCACTTTTACACCGAAGAGTCGTCAACGTCGACCAAGGTCTTCTCGACAGTCTGGCATGGGGCAAAGTGTTATCGGAAACCTATGGAGGATTTGCAGGTCATTGGGAGGCAAAATGTCGCAATGTGGAAGACACACGAGGGTGAGTTTTTGGGAGCTTTCGGTAGATATTTTGCTGACTCTGGCAGACCGCATCATTATCGGCAGAGTCATCACACATGTCAGATCAGGGCTATGCCTCGGCTTGTGAGCTCAAGCTTGCTATTTTGAGATGCGCTAATGATGATATAGCAACATCGAAGACCCATCCGGGGCTGTCTTTCCCGTCCTCAACAACTACCCCACTCCCATCCCCCATTTCTCCCTTTCCCTCCCCGACACACTGTCCAAGCTTTACCCTCTCGGATCAACCTTAGCTATCAAATCGCCTCGAATAGGTTTCGACCATAGAGGCGCGTTCGCCGTCAAGGTGGACATGCCTTATGAGATTGAAGAAGTACGGCCGACAAATTCGATATTGGAGGGTGTCAAGTGGCAGGATGGGTTGAAGGAGGAGATAGTAAAGGGGTGGAAGAGGTATAGAGATGCGGGTAATGGAGAGATGAGGAATGACAACCCTTTGGTAAGCTGCCATATCAGAAGAGGGAGACTGGTGCTGACGATACTATCAAGGTCGCTCTCCGCCTCTATACGCTAGCTTTGTCCGACCCCGCGGTCGAACGCGACCCTATCAAGACTTTCGACCTGCTCCTCAATCGCACTGAAGCCTATCGTGCTGTCCATCTATACGGACATGCCTATCGAGATGCTCACCGAGCGCGAGAGGTTGTCAATTTCATATCCCTCTCGACAGATCAATGTGGACGTCTTCAACTCCGACTCGCCAAAGCCGCGCTTGGCCTGCGTCTTTACGAGACAGCCCTTCGAGCTTGTGAGGAGGCTTCTCCTGGATCTTCTCATTCCAACGATATCGAAGAGGTGAAGAAAAGGATACAGATGAGGGTAGCCGAGCAACAATCTGGGGCATACGACTGGCTGGCCATCTTTCGCGACTCGTTGGCAAGTCCAATGGCGGAGTTGGACATTCCCGACTACATTTCCCCCGCTTGCAGCGTCACCCAAATCCCCGGCTGTGGCCGAGGCGTCATCGCCACCCGCGACATTATCCCTGGCGAACTCATCATGGTCAGCAAAGCCATCGCCCCTTCCCACACCAAGCTCGACGCTCCAAACGTATATGTAAACGTCTTTGACGCCGAGTCGCAGAGCCATGTACCTCATGCGACGTATATGTGGGTGTATCGGATGATGCACAAGGTGTATGATGATCCGTCGCTGCTTGTCGCTCTTGGAGGCTTTTCTTCGGAGAACAATCGGTCTCCTGAAGATCTACCCCAGCTTCTAGATGAAGAGGCTCGTTTAAAGCTTTTGTTTGCGCCGGTAGCTTCCAGCCTCAGCCTCAACGCTTTCAGACAGGTCCTCAAGACAAACTGCTATGCGGGCCGGTCTGTCTCTTCGAAAGGTGCAGGTTTTGAGGAGGTTATGGATGAGCGGCTGTCCCTCGCAAAGGACAAGAGTCCAGTCATCTATCTCCATGGGATGCCATCCATGATGAATCATTCGTGTTGGCCCAATATGACCGAGTGCTGGTATGGTGATGTGCGTCTACTTCCATCTCATAAAGACGAGTGCCGGCTAACGAAGATATAGATGATGGTTATACGCGCCAGCAAACACATTTCCAGCGGTGAACAACTGTTCATGTCTTACGTCCGAAACGATCCCTCTTATCCCTCTCGACTCTCTTCCCTTGCCAACTGGGACTTTACCTGCAAGTGTACCCTCTGCACCGCTGACCGCGGCCCCCAGGACGATCCGCATGAAAGAGCTCAAATTATGGACTCTGCCTTGCCACTGCTCTTTTCGAATCCTATCCCGGACGGCAAGTTGACTGATCAAGCAAAGGAGAAGCACAGGCGCAAAGCGGAGGAGCTGGGGAAGGTGGCGAGTGCGGTTGAGGAGACGTATGCTGTGGGGAGAGGGCAGGGTACGAAGGGGCAGTTGGCGAGGGTATATAATCAGATTGGGAGGAGTTACTTCATTGCAGGACAGGGGGCAAAAGCTACAGAGGTAAGTGTGAAGAGCTGAATGATAAGGGAATAGATGCTGACGAGGAGATATTGGAGGCTCTTATTCGCTTCCTCGAATATGCTGGCGTAACGCTCACCACCCCGGCACAAGAGCAACAGCTCGGGAGGAAGGTTTATGAGAGCCATAACCTGGAGGAAGAGGTGATTCTGGGGTTGATGCTTCTCGCTGTTTTGGAGGGAGCCAAGGTATGTCGTCTTTAGGGTATGTTTACCACGAGGCAGAAAGATGACATATGGCAGAACCTGGAAGAGGGGTCCAGATGGGCGCGCGCGGCTGTATGGGTCCATGATGTGCGGTACGGCGGGGGCAAGGCGTTGTTTATCGAACGGTATAGCCATCTGTTCGCTGATTTGCCGGTGGAGTTTGACCTGGGAAGCTAAGTTCCGCCACATATACATGTAGAGACTAGTATTGTAAGATTGTATATGTATTCAGAAAAGTGTAACCTGTCAAAGATTAAGAGACGACGCCATCGGCAGACAAGTTCAGCATACTCAGACTTTCCCGGATGATCTTAGCGTTTGTGTAAGTATCAGTATTAGAATGGTTGCTGATGTAGATGAGCATATAATCGATGCATTTGAATCACAAGATCACCATCACAACAAGCTTCGCACACCTCGTGTAGAACAAGCATTCAACATGGTATGGGGTAGACGTCGCCCCAGGAGTAGACCTCGGGCTGATATCTGCTCTGATCATCTGCCTCGCACTCTTTTGAAGACAGCGCCCTTCTTGGTGGAGTGTGGCGCTTGGGTGTAGCATAAGTGTCTCGGTTTGAGATGACCATTGAAAGACTAGGACCCATAGTAGTAAAGGTGGCTGTAAGATAGGGTGCTGTGTTATGAAGTTACATCATGAGGCACTAGGAGAGTAGCAAAAACCGAGAACTCTGGCAATATACATATCAAGAAGGCCATTGTACCATTCTACGCTACTGCAGCTGCCATCTCATCCTCCATGATAGAAGCGACCATACAAATACCCAAAGCACTCATCAAAGCAAGATCGACACCTTCAGCCACAGTGAGCGCGTACTGCAAGCAACCCCACAGGTCAGTAACGGTCTCGACTGTACTATCCAGAAAAACTAAGCCAACGTACATGGTTGCCCCAGTTCTTCATATAACTCCTCTTAACCGTCGCCACCTCTTCCCCATCTTCTAAATTCACCTTGAAGTTTTTGCCTTTCCAATCCCCGTCCAACAATAAAGTGTGTGATGCTCCGCTTTTGGCGTTTGTGAATGTTCCAGTCATTCGCGTTTTGACTGCGAGCATCGATCGTCAGAGGCTGTAAAGGCTTGTTCGAAGAAAAGGAGGAGGAGCAGGAAGATGGCGGGACTCACAAGACATGTTCCTCTGATGCACTTCCATAATCTCCTGACCTTTGTTTGAGACGGTACACACTTTCTTCGAGAGTTTGACACGGCGGTGGATGTCGAAGAGCTGTTTGCCGTCTGCATCTGTCACCATGACTATGCACCGAAGGCCGTCAGCGACGAGTAAATCAGCAGATGAGGGATGAGGGATGTACTCTCGGACTTGCTCCCCCAAAAATTGGATTTTCCCGGATGACCCGTCATCACAAGCTTGCCTTGTTCATCTTTGACGGTAAAGTCTGCCTGCCGTCGACTCTCAGCATCTTGATCATGCGATCTCGGAAGGGTAGGGAGACAGCTTACGCGGGTCCATCCGATGTTTCCCAAGATGATCAGAGTAGTTTCGTGAGAGGAGAAGTATGCTGGGAAGACGCCGATAGGTTCTACTTTGTCGATAGTTGAAGACGAGTCCATGGCGGCCCCGAGGTGGGTGTTGTCGAGGAAGCTGAGGAGGGGATGTTCTGGCTTGAGGCGGGAGTACTAGTATCTGGGAGCTTGAGTGCGATGCAAGTGGTCAATAGAGTGAAGAAGGAAGAGATGCAAAAGAAGGAAAGGGATTCAAAATTGACGTGCAGCGTGTCTGGTGGTGCGGTGGGCCCGTGCACTGCCACCCCGGAACACCGACAGACGACAAGCGCGCGCACCGGGTCCGCATTGTTTGGTTCGCCTTCAAAGGGCATATCATGTCCTGCATGGCTGAGTATTGGTATATGCATCACCAGCGGCTGCATGAACAGAACAGCCATGGTCTCATCCCTGATTACCTACAGCTCTGTCGCCACTCTTCGCGCCAAGCAGTCATCAGCGATCCCAAAACACCTCCTGGCGAGGCGGTGTCTTCGGAGCTGATTTGCCCTCGCCGGTTGATGGCTACGCTGTGTACTGGAATGATCCTCTCCTTCACTACAACCATATATCACCCAAAAGGTTCATCACCCCTCACACCCCATCCGTGAACGGAACCAACATGGGCTCCTCTTCCCGTGCTCGACGTATTGCTCACCAGCAGCATCAAGCACAGTCCATTGGCGTCTTTCCAGCCTACTTCACCTCACACGAAACCACTATCAACATACTGGGAAGTCTAGGATGGAGCTGCGCAAGTCTTCCTTGCCTTTCAGTGCCAATGATGCATGCTCATAATCAACAACAACAGGCAGATTTTGTAGTCAAAGATGGACGAGGCCATCATTTGACGGAAGGCCGGCCTGGAAAGTAGAACTGCTGGGGAACCAAGTCTCAGAGTATGTCACCTGCCTGGCTCCTTCCTCTAATTCTGGCGGTACTGACGATCTTTCATTGTGGTTAGTCGTAGTGACAGACTCGAGCGGTAGAGGTATAAATGAGATCCGAAGGAACCGGGGGTTTTGAAGAAGAATTGTACAGTTTCGAGGGGTGGCAAAGTGATCAAGGATGTAAAGCGAAACAACATATCTCGTAAGTACTCTCTCCCCTCTTGAGCGCTCTGACTATCTGTCTTGTCGCTTCGATTACGGAGGACGAGGAAGATGCGGTAGGGGGAGTGGCAAACCCTGTCAATCTTGCGTGACTGCTGTTTGACTAGGCGAAGTGGAGTCATTGAGGCGAGTGACAAGGTGATCAACAGCACCGACGAGGGATGATCATACTAGGGAGTTACATACAAAGATAAGTGACGTAGCGTATTATACAGATTCCCCAGCATCTCTAGTCCACGCTTGCTCCAGACTCCATAGTTACACACGTCTCATTCCTCTTCCAGTCCCATTCGATGCTCTTACTCCTTACTCCCTTTCTTCGTGTTTTCAGCCGCATCGCCGCTCTTGCACGCTACGATCTTGATCTTGGGGCCGGTCACCATCTCCGATCTAACAAAGTGTATCAGTACTCGCCGCCAAAGGAAGAGAGAGAGGGGAGACGAACCCAGCACCGATACCCTCCATCTTGAACTGCGGTTCCTTCACCACAAACGTCCACACATCATCACAAAGTCTATAAGTCGATAAATGTCCCTATACCCCGGTCAGTCAAGTGTCTTTCCCATGGCTGCTCGTCCCTTCGGTCGCAGAGTCGCGAAAAAGCGTACTTTGATGGTAGTCTTGGCTTTGACCTTTTGCTGCAAAGAGTCCGTTACGGACTTGTCAAACTGTACCCCATTCATCAGCTTTTACATTCCCTCCCCGATGCATGCAGGCAGGAAGGCAGAGAGGCAAGGGGACGTACTTGCTGCAAGACTCGCATAGCCAATTGAGGCGGGATATCGCCCTGCGTGATCAACTCGTCCAGCGCATCAGTCAGAGCCGTCCCAATGCTACAGATGTCCACCATATCAGCTTCCCGTAGTGATGGGGTGGAGAGAGAGGGAGGTGAAAAGGGATGAAGGAGGGAAGGGGAGGAAGGGAAGACGGACCTGGAATTGCGGTAAAACTCGTAGTAAGTCTGACCGGCCGACATGGTTGGAGCGTCTCTTTTCGGGGCTGTACGGCGAGCGGGGAGGAGTCGGCTTGGGGGGAGGGGGGGCGACCAGATCAGGCGTAGAAGGGAGAAGAGATGAGAGTGAATTGAAGGAATGACCAAGATGATCTCGGGGCTTGCTACAACCCGGCTCGCCGGTCATCGCCGACAGTGTACAGTGCGCCTTCTTCCATCCGTTCTACTAGGCGCGCACTTCCATACGATTCATTCATAAAAAACCATGCGAGAAGCTGTTTCTATATATATGCAGTTTGAAAACGAAAAAAAAGGAAAGCGTAGATAGGAGAAGGGTGAACAAGAGAAATGTGTATGAGAGAGAGGAAAAAGAGTCTGACGTAGAAGCCGTTAAAAACTGTTGGGCTACTTGATATAGGAGTACGAAAGAGAAAACAGAAGAGTAAGCCCGGGATAGAGAGTAGTAGCAAGGAGGAGAAAGAAAGAATGCACTTGCCCCGCTCGGCCTTGACACGGCAAGACCGACTTGGAAGAATGGCAAATGGAGGAGTAAAGAAGGTTGTGTCGTCGTTATAGACATGAGAAGGAGCCATGCGGAGGAAGGTGCAGATGGGTAAAGTGAGAAGCATGGGACTCGAAAGTGGAACGAATGAATCCAATGATGCAAAAAATGGAATGGAAAGTGCGCAGTTGATTGGGTTTGCTGATGATAGAGAAAAGGCAAGCATATGGAGGGGGCACGCGGGCGGTCGGTGGCGACACAAGGAGGCTGGAGGGGAGGAGATGTGGGTATATGGGCGGGTCGAGCGGTTATCTCCCCGGCTATGCGCATGCTGGCTGTATTATGTTTTGAACTTTTTTTGCGTCTTCTTTTCGATGCTCGACCGCTTTCAAGACCTAGCCTGCTGTTACATCAATCTCTGCCATCGACCATACACAAAAGAAAAAAAAAAACTCACTCATTGCTCAGCCTTGGACTCTTCTTCCTTCTCATCCTTCCCCACATCGCCCGACGTCGACGTCGAGGTCGCAGGCGTCACGGTCATATCCGCCACACTCGTATTCGCGCTCGCCTCTGCCTCCGCCTCTTTATCCTTTGCAGCCTCCCTCGCCGAGCTGCTCTTCATCAACGCGCTCTGCACGTCCGCAGCTACAAACCCTCTTTGCGGGTTTGCCGGACGCCTCTGCCCGCCCATCCCCGCCGCCGCACCTTCGCCCCCACTCCCACTCCCTTCCACACCCTCAGCCCCTTCAACCACCTCCTTCCCCCCTGCTTCGGCACTACCTCCGGCAGTTTGACTGGGGTCGGGCTTGATAGTACTCGGTTTCGCTTCAGGCAATACCCATCGATGCGATTCGGCACCAGCCAGGCGGACCTTGTCTTCGCGCACTTCGAGATAGTTGGAGAGGGCCATGACTTCGCGTACGATAGCGACGTCGGGGGTGAGGGATTTGATACGGTTGAAAGAGGCGATCATGCCGATATCAATCCATCCTTCCGAATCCATCTACTCCACATCAGCTTTTGCCTACAACTTCAAGAGAAGGGAGGGGGGAGGGGCTTACCTGTTGACGAAGGAAAAAGTCCATAGCGAGATTCTGCATACTAAAGTAATACTCCACCTGCCCAAGCACATAGAACCTCAGCGGATCAAGGTTCGGTACCACCGTCTGCGGCATCGGCGGGGGAGGCATGCTCGCCCCGCGGTAGGCGTTGGCATACTGCATGGGGTCGTAGATCCCCTGTGCCTGTGTACCGTTCGCACCACCGGCAGCAGAAGCAGAAGCGGCGGGGTAGAAGGGCTGGAAGCCCATACCGAATCCTCGTTGGTAAAGGTTGGGCGCGTTACCGTTGGCGGAGGGGTAGGGCATACCTTCCATGGGGAGACCCATGAAGCCCATAGGCGGGGAGGTGTAAGGCACCCCGTGGCCCTTATGGTGCGCGATAGCAGAATTGCTCCTGAACCCTCCCCTACCTCGTCCACCGAACGAGCCGCGGGCAGGGTCGTTCCGCCCTCTAGGCGGACGGGCTCCACCAGCACCGGCGGCAGCAGCGCCGGGGGTGGGGTTGGTGAATGTGTGTGAAGGGATGGGCGCGGTTTGGCTGGTTTGCATGGGTTTTGACGCGAGTTGGCGGTCGGCTTGAGCAGCGGAAGATTCGGGTATGGGGTTGGGTTCGGAGATGGAAGTAGGAGGAGCGGGGGAGGATGTACCTGCCTTCCCTTCCTGCTCTTTACCTTTCCCCTCCCCAGCGCCAGTACCATTGACCTTCCCAACCTCAGCCTCACCCTTGACACCACTCCCAGCAGCTTCCTTCGCCGCACGAACCGCCTTCTTACTGCCCGCACCATTCACACTACCGCTCTCGACAGCAGAAGCCTTCTTGGGCTTGGTAGCCTTCCCAGGGGCGGCGGTACTGCTAGACTCGCCTTCGCGGGCAGACCTCTTCTTGGCCTCAAGCCTGTTCTGACGACGACTCTGTTCGGCAGCTTGGTCGGCGGCAGCCAACATCTCGTGCGCCGGGATCGCCGTCCATTTGTGCTTTTCTAAAACCAAAATATCAGCTCCGTCTATATTCACCTCCAGTGGCAAGGGGAGATGGGACTCACTACCAGTAGCCGTCCCCGCCACATTCTCCTCACCCAAATTAACCGTCTCACTCTCCACCTTGCTCCTCACCTTCTTCTCCTTCTCCTCCTTATCCTTCACTGCTGTCGCCACATCAGGCCAGAGATGGGCATCGTTAATCACCAGAGGCGCTGTTGAGCCGACAGCAGCAGCTGCAGACTTTTTCTTACTACCCCCATTCTTCCCAGCTCCAGCTGTGGAGGCGGAGGCGGAAGCGGCGCTAGGTGTGGGCGCAGAGTCGTCTCTTGAGGCAGTACCGTTCGGTATTGACTTGTCCGTAGACTTGCCGCTGCCGGTCGAGGCAGGGGCAGGGGCGGGGGCGGGGACGGTACTAGTAGACTGTTTCTTACGCAAATCCCATACGTTCACTTTCGGCACCGGCGCAGAAGCCTTGGGCTTCACCACAGGCTCCTCGACCTTTTCTTTCTCTTGCTCGACCACCGTTTTGGGCGAATCCGTACGGCCGGCAGAAGCGGAGGTAGAGGCGGAGGTGCCGTTGGGTGTGGGTGTTGGTTTGGAAGCATCGGTGACGGGACTTGCTATTGAGGAAGAAGAGGTTTTTTGAGCGGCGCTGGCGGGAGCGGGGTTGGAAGCGGAGGCGGGGGCAGAGGCAGAGGGAGTGGGAGTGGGGATGGTTTGTGAAGGGATATTCCAAGCGCTCTTGGTCGTAGCCTTGGCCGACTTTTCCTTCTCAGCCCCCTTCTCCTTCTCCTTCTCTGCACTGACGGCTGCGGCTGTAGAAGGAGCGCCCGAGTTTGAGTTTGAGCGCTTATCGCCCTTCTTCACCCGCTCCTTCACATCCCTCTTCCTATCCCCACTCGACCCTTCCTCCTTCTCATCCCGCTTCTCCCTCTCCTTATCCCCACCCCCACCCCCAGCGCCCTCTCGACCAGACCGATCCCTCCAATTCTTCGAACTACTCCCCCTCTTCGCATGCGCCCCTTCCCTACCCTCCTTGCCTCCCTCGCCCGAGCGGTCGGGGAGGCGGTCACGGTCGTCAGAACGCGTGTGGGTAGAGTGGTTTCGCTGACGTGAAGATTGGACGGTTTCCCAGAGTCCGTCGTCTTCTTGCTGCTGCTGTTGTCGCTGCTTCTCCTGCGTCTGCGTTGTAGAAGAAGTAGAAGTAGACGGCGTTGACGACTTGTCCTTGGTGGAAGAAGTGGATTTTTCTTTGGGTTGTTGCTGAGGAGCAGCAGGACTCGACGCAGCGACAGCCGGAGAAGTAGGGGCAACTTCAGAAGAAGAAGCAGCAGGGGGCGCAGGGGCAGAAGATTTGATAGGATTACCGTTGGCGTCTTTGATACGGTCGGCATAAGAGCCGAGGGCGTTGAACACCGAGGTGGAGTTGCTACCAGACATGCTGCTGTGGGCGTTGGTGGTGTTGGGGTTGGGGGTGGGGGTGAATGGGTTGAAAGAGGGAGATGGGTGGGAGGGAGATAACTGGGGGGCGAGCATTGCGTCAGCAATTGATTTTGGTAAGAGTAGGACTGAAGAAGAAGAAGAAGACAAGCGGAGGTGCGAGGAAAGAAGTGAGGGGTGGGGTGAAAAAGGGGTTTTGTGTAGCCCCAAGAGGAGCACCTGACACAGGAATGCTTGCGTTTTGGATACCCGATGAGAGGATGAGGCAAGAGCAATGGGAAGCGGTGAAAGGAGCAGAGGTAATGGGGACGGCTGTTCGGGGTGGCCAACTTTTTCAACCACGCACGCACACCACAATGGACCTCCCCCTACCCGTCCCCCAATGATTACTGCCATGAATGGAAAGTTCGACTCACGTTGTCCGAGAGCAGCGCTATGCGGTATACCGGTTCCGATGAAAATGTGGGACCCGGGATATTTCCACGCTTTGGAAACCTTTGAACCGGGTTGAAACTTTCTTCGAGGCTCAAGCGGCGTTGGTCGACGTAAAGAGACTTGAATGTATGCCTGGGAGCGAGTCAGCCTCCCTTGTCATGCACTCATGTACGAGTGGCGGAGTGGCAAGGCTTCTGTCGAGCGACGGAGCCGCCGCCTGGCGCAAGAACCTCGAGGTCACGCAGCGAAGCAACCCCATTTCCACCTTCACCGCCTCTCCCTTCCCACCACGCTCTTGTCAAGAACCAATCACTCACACTGATCACACGCTTTCCAATGAATGCCTTCTGCTGTGACTACTTTGCACCCGAGTTGAGTTTGAGCGGAGGAAGAGTTGGCGTTCGGTTGCCGGGGGACTATCTGCTGGGCAGTGGGTAGGACCGGAAGGCTGATGGGACTTGTTTTTTGTGGACTTCGGACTGTGGAGTCAAGGAGGAAGGTCGCTGCCGTCTGGACAAGGCTGGGATGGCGAAGATGGCAGTGGGCGAATAGCGCTCGCGGAGATTGGCGGTGTTATAAAGAGGCATCTAGACCTCCACTTCCATCGCCCGCATTTCAAAATTTGTATACCGCCCATCACTGTCCACTACACCCCCCACACCACTACACGAGACCCACCATGCGTCAGCTGAAGCACCACGAGAAGAAGCTCCTCAAAAAAGTAGACTTTTTGAACGTACGTACACTCCAGATCTTTCGGTTGCGCGCTGGACCTCGGGATCCGGGCAATGGGTGCTGACTTGTAATGGACTGCAGTGGAAGCAAGATGCGAGCCAGAGGGAGATCAAAGTGATGCGAAAGTACCATATCCAAGACCGAGAAGACTATCACAAGTGCGTTCTTCGTCTGTTCGCAGCGTTGTGCAAGCCACAGACTGATACTTTGCCGTAGATACAACAAGCTGTGTGGTTCTTTACGGTCTTTGATCCACAAACTTTCGCTCTTACCCGCCCAAGATCCGTTTAGGCAGCAGAGAGAGACGGAGATGTTGAATAAGCTGTATGATATGGGTATCCTCGGTACGTCTCCATCCATCTCCCTTTTTGCTTTTTGCTTTTCTTGCTCTGGCTTTGGCTTTCCCCGCCCCTGCCCCCCCCCCGCGCATAGAAGCTAACTCGATCCACAGACGTTGGCGTCAAACCCTCCGAAATCGAAACCAAAGTAACCGTCTCCTCCATAGCCCGGCGCCGACTCGCCGTCATCGTCGCCCGCCTCAAAATGGCCCAGACCGTATCCGACGCCGTCAAAACGATCGAACAAGGGCATATCCGTGTAGGCCCGGCGCCGGTGACGGACCCGGCGATGCTTGTTACGAGGGGGCAGGAGGATTTCGTTACTTGGGTGGATACGAGTGCTAGGAAGAGGACGGTTATGAAGTATAATGATGAGGTGAGCTCGTTCTTGAACGTTGGTTTGTGGCTGTGGGTGGGGCTAACGGGTGTGTAGTTGGATGATTTCGATCTGCTATAATTGTTTGTATAGAAGCGAGCGAGCGAGCACGAGAGAGAGAGAGAGAAGGAGGGAGGGGATGGAGGATATTGTACCGATTACAGGGATACCCGGCATCACACTTTTGCATGTACATGTACCACACTCGCCGGTCGAAAAGACGTTGCACGCTTCATTCGCCCCGTGTCTCTGACATATCTGGCTATACGTGCATACATCCAAAAGAAGGCGCTGATTCGCAGGCGGAGTGTGTCAACAACCGATCAAATCTAGGACGCACAGAAAAGATGAAGAGAGGGGAGTTATCGAGTGTGAAAAAACAGATGAATGGAAAAAGAGCTCCTCCCATAAGCATTGCCCAACGCTTCTGTTCAAACAAGCCCAACATAGTTTCAGGAGAGGGATGTCAAAGTGCAATGCGATGGCACCACGGAGATTCCAGCCATGTCTCGCTCTACATTCCGAGGCTCGAAACGTTGCGGAGGCGCATGGAAAGAGGGACGGAGGTCGAGATAGAGAAGGCTATTTCTGTTATCTGTCAGGCGGAAAGAGACACCTGGATTTTGGAAACTTTCACGAAGGGTGTAGACGCCTTCTCGGGTCCGGCCGGGTAGTCAAACGCGGAGCAGTATTCGGCTACTTGTGTCCTCTTCCCAACACCTTCCTTCGGACGTAGGATAGAAGTACGGGCGCGCGAGACGGAGGGCAAGAACGCGAGACGATGTTCAGGTGCCGAGTCGCACCAGTCACAAGCGTAGCCAGAAACTGGTTCCAAGTCATCCTTGAATGACTCGGAGACTGTTGAGAATGGTGCAGACGCAAAGTTCTTGGACGCACAGAACACCATGGCCGGCTGGCGCATTGTGCAGTGCCTCGTCCCGCGTCCCAGTAGGGGGCGATGTGTCTGAAGAGGCAAGCGAAAACGGTCTGGGGTCCAAAAGTCAGCTCGGTGATTGATGTCATCGTCGTGGCGGTTGGACTCACGGCGTTTAGTGACAAAGTCGATCACCCATGCGCCACCCTGTAGATGTAATCAGCACGAATACATGCAAGGTTTTGCACTTACCACCCGGTCTGCTGCATCTAACTGTTTCCTCCTCCCTGTGGCAAACACTACACATGGCTTTGAGGCGGTGACGGAGCGGCGAGGGGCGGCGAGCTGAAGACTATAATCAGCCGCGTCCGTGGTTGGTTTAACGTACGTTGGTAAAGGCCCCTCGCTTGAGGCCCGAAGAAGCAAAAATACAATGTTGTTGATGATCTAGTGGTATGATCATCAGCCACGAAGTACAACACCACATTCTCGAGCCACTCACGCCGAAAGCCTCAGTCTCTTTCACGACCGCCCGGATGTTATGGTAAGAGCCGTTTCTCGATCTTGTTCGAGAGCTGAGAGGAACGTCGTCATTGCAGCCAAAAGTCGATCTGTGAAAACTTCAGTTCTGCTCACACCATGCCCCGTATGGGCAGTAATGGCCCACGAAGACAAAAGACGTACTCTTCTGGATCGGACCTGCGTAGACATAGACGCCTCTCACAACCATGAGCATCGAGCGGATGGCAAGCGCATAACAAGACTTACCCATTCGGCTTGGTACCGGTCATCTTGATCGAGGCCGCTCTGGAGTTGACCCTTTACATACCCCATACCAAACGGGAGCTGGTCGAGGTATTCAGCCACCAACTGGTGGAGGTAGATCGTTGCCTCTTGCCGGCTCTTGAAGGCAAGTGCTTCAGCACCTGCAGCCTGACACTTGGTGACTGCTTGGAAAAGGGTTGCAGCCTTCTGAGCGGGGTCCAGGGTATCTATATGCACTGTGTCAGTAACTACACACGAGCTCTTGGGACGCTGAAGCAGAAACAAAAGACGTACAGGGCCCAGGGGACATATGGTTGTCACCCTGGTCAAGGAACAACAGCGCAGGGGCTGCAGTCTTGTATTGCTTCACCACCATTGTCGCCCTTGTCGCCCTTGTCGTCATGATTCCTCGTGCTCGAAGCAGCGGCGAAACAAGAGGCGGCGGAGACGGAAGCAAGATGAGCGGAAGAGGAGGGATCGGGCATGCAATAGAGCGCGAGGAGATGGAGGTAAGAAAGAGAGAGGTGTTAGTATTCTTTGAGCTGTTGGCCTTCAGCAAGTATAGCGGGTGGAGCTAGAACCAGGTTCCCGCGCGTCTGGACAGACCTTGGCGACGGGCGAAGGCATACCATGGCTGCCGGGGCTTGCTTTTGTCGGGTATCGGTGCATACTATGCGATAAGGTGAGAGATGGATATGAACGGGAATGTCGGCAGTATCACCCCATGCATAGAGTACCAGCGTGAACATAAGAAAGAGATCACAGCGCATCTCATCATCATCATTCACTTGTCATTCACAGCCCGGTGCCACTTCGGCGATCCCCGACGCGTCAAAATCACGTGACACCGCAAAAGTTGAAGCTCTCGACATTTGGTTCTTGTCGTCACTGTCCCCTACATAACAATCCTATCTTCACCATGCCCAAGGCCACCTCCTCCACCTTCAAGGCCGCCCCCACCTCCGCCTCCCAGCGCCCCAAAAAAACCGGCGGGGACGCTTCTGCCGCGGCGGCCGGAGGCGCCAGGAATCATCTGTTTGATACTGCTCGGTTTGGGCAGCATATCTTGACGAACCCTCTTGTTGCTCAGGGGTATGTATCATTTGTGTGTTGTTATGGGCAGTGCTGATGGTAGTGTAGAATTGTGGACAAGGCGAATTTGAAGCCCACCGACGTCGTGCTTGAAGTCGGTCCTGGTACTGGTAACCTGACTGTCCGGATCCTACCGTCATGCAGGAAGGTGGTAGCTGTGGAGATGGACCCGCGGATGGCTGCCGAAGTGCAGAAACGTGTCTTGGGAAAGTGAGTGTCTCCGTTCGCTAGGGGGGTATGTCAGGGTACTGATGGGAGGCAGGCCTGAACAGAAGAAGTTGGAAATCATCCTTGGTGATTTCGTCAAAGCCGAGCTGCCCTACTTTGACGTCCTCATCTCCAACACTCCTTACCAAGTACGTCCCTATCCCCTCCCCCTCCCCCTCCCTTCTCTTCCTCATCTGACGATCCGCAGATCTCCTCCCCCCTTGTATTCAAACTCCTCTCCCAACGCCCCATCCCCCGCTGCGCCGTCCTCATGTTCCAACGCGAATTCGCCCTCCGCCTCGTCGCCACACCCAACACCAAACTCTGGGGCCGTCTCGCCGCCAACGTCCAGCTCTACGCCCGCGTCGAGCACGTCATGAAAGTCGGCAAAGGCAATTTCCGCCCGCCCCCGCAGGTGGAGTCGTCGGTGGTGAGGATCATGCCGCGGGACCCGCCGCCGCCGGTGAAGTTTGAAGAGTTTGATGGGTTGAATAGGATCATATTTAGTAGGGCGAATAAGACGTTGAGGGCGGGGTTCAGGGCGAAGGGGGTGTTTGAGATGTTGGAGAAGAATTATAGGACTTGTTGTGCTGAGAACGGGACTGTGAGCTTTCTTTCTCTTCTTTTCTTTTTCTGGGGCTTGTGGATAGGAAGAGCTGACTGGTATCAAGATCATCGACGATATGTTTGACATCAAAGAGAAGGTCGACGCGATCCTGATCGACACTGGTTTCTCCGATAACCGTGCGCAAAAGATGGACGTTGATGACCTCTTGAAGTGAGCCTTCTTCTTCTCATCCCATCCCTTCCCTTCCCTTGTCCACTAACACTCTTGTGCAGGTTGCTCGCTGCATTCAACGTTGAGGGAATGTAAGTCCACCCCTGCATCATCGATATGGCTGTATACTGACTGTCCCTCGTAGCCACTTCGCTTAGAACCATCTTTCCATCCTTGATTGTCGTCTCCCGCTTTCTCCCAGTGCAGGTGTTTAGGCAGCAGGCAGAAACGTGTTGTAACCATATATCGATACCCATGTACATCTTTGGCTCTGCTCTTTTGGAAGACGTCGAGACGAGCGGGAAAGTGGGAGAGGTGTGAGAGGGTTGCAGATTGAGAGGTTGGGAAACAGACCGACTCGAAGGCCGGATTTGTGCGTCCTCGAGTCATTGGTGCTCGAGCGGGAAAAGTGGGACTGCATTACGCAGGTATAGATGAACTCATCATATCAATTCAAACGCATTCGTCGCAAATTTACTATCTCACCAATACCGATACCACTATTAAACACCCCCCGACTCCTCCCCTCTGGCTTGATCGACCACCTGCGCTCCAACGGGGCCAGAGCCTCCCACCGAAAAAGCCTCATGAAGAAACTATACTTGGTTTTTTCTCTCAATGAAATGAGGAATTGTAGTGCTTCATGAGCCCCTTCCGCCGGGAGGCCCCGACTCCGATGTAGCAATAATGGGCGCCCAAACAGGCGAGAAGGCAAGACGGTTGCGATGTAGGTCCAGCCACTGTACGAATTGATCAGACAAGAGATTCGCCATTGGTTTCGTTGTGAAGGAATGGATTACTTACGCCTGTTCATCGTCTCGTCATCTGCTGCAGGGAGGGCAGCGTCGCCCGAAAGACAAAACCATAGCTATCGGGGCGCGTCAGCATTTGTATGATAATAGTGCGGTCAAGTAACGAACCAGCGAAGCGCAGTAGCCATCAGTGAAGAACGAGATGTCTCGAATCGAAGCACTGTGCGCAGTAGACCGGGTCCCGTTGCGACTGTCTGAATCGAGGGCACCTGGCTCTACTGTGCTTGCGCCATGGTGTAAAGCTCTGTAGATCTGGGTATAACAGTGACTTTAGCTTGGAATTCGAACTCGAGAGGTATTCACTCACGTATGCCACGATTCGGCTTTTCAGGAAGGAGTGACCCATGGTCTCCGGAGGTGAGGCGTCATGGGGGAAGAGGAAGGAGGGGAGCGCATTGGGCCATCGAAGCGCAGTAGCCGACAGTGAAGAACGAGATGTCCTCCCCCTGGATTTGAGGTCAGTCTGATGCAATCCCCAGTGTCTACAAGATCAACTCACTGGACGTTGTTTCAAAGCCCAACATATTTTCACCTTACCATTCTTGGTGTCGGCGGCAGACCCGAAACGAGGATCCTCCACCTCGTAGTTGGCATGGAACCACTGGGCCAGGTTGGTATACCCCGCAAGAGAGTCGAGTGAGACCTGTTCCCACTGCTTTGGAGACCCGCGCTGGAGCAGGAGAATCCTCAAATGGCCGAGGGAGAAGTCGAGGCTGTATCTCAATATCAGCGGACCGAGTTATTGTCATCTGCTTGACTTTGATACTCACCCGGCCAGAGAGATTCTGTGCTTGTAGTCGACCTCATAGTCCCCACTCTCCCACCTGTCCCTGAAGTCCAAAAAAGCTCGTTCGAGGCCACTTTCGGCCGGCATCGCGAGCCTCACAGAAGTGGCCGGGAGGCCCTGGACAATACATCTGGCTCTACTGTGCTTGCGCCGTGGTGTAAAGCTCTGTAGATCTGAATATAACAGTGGCTTTAGCTTCGAATTCGAATTCGAAATCGAGAGGTATTCACTCACGTATGCCACGATTCGGCTTTCCAGGAAGGAGTGACCCATCAAGTCCGAGGGGAGGTACATGATCTGTTTCCAGTGGGGCGTCAGCCGAGGTCCGAGGATGTGAAGGTGCTTGTTTGGGAGAGGGTGAGGACACTGACCATGGTGATCACGTAGAAGACGACAGACATGTGGATGTCCTGAGTTTTCCCCTTCTGGGCGACAGGGGAGAGCAAGGGCGACAGGGGGGGGCAAGGGGGGCAAGGGG